GAGGAAGAATGGGATCCTGAATATACTCCAAAAAGCAAGAAATACTTCTTGGTGGGTGTCATATTATATGCATGCATCTTTTCTAAAGTCTTATTTTATAGCAGCGATATCTAAAACTATTTCTGTTATTTCAAGAATCTCCACTGAGTCCTCTACAGTGAACATCTGTATTTGTATTTGCTTTTACATACGTCTACATAGTCTAATGAAAGAAGTTCTTCTGCACCATTTCTAGCTAGTCAGTCAGCAACAGGAGAGAAAAAAATCTAGCCTGTGCAGACTACATTGTGCAATTATGGATTTTCTTCAACAGATTGCATTCTGTTGTCTGTAAGTGAAGGTCTAGGCTGTCCTTAAAGCCAAGGAAAAGCCAGATAATATAATAATATCTCAATTGCTCTGAGTTGACTGAGATAATGCTATCTTGTAACTTTGTATAATGGTGTTTGTGGTTGTGATATCAAAGTAATTATTAAATAATGATGATGTGGAGTGTGTAACTGCTTTTCAAAGAAATTTTCTAATGCTTAATTTTTTTCACTGTAAATTTTTTTCCTTCATTTTCACATCATATATTTTCCCTTTCATGAGTAACTAATGTTTCTCAGTGAATTACAGGTGGGTACACAAGCACTCTTTCAGTGGATATTATATTTTCTATTGCTCTAATGTGTATTAAACTAATATGTGTATTTGGAAAAAACAGGATTTTGATCAGGTGTGACTTTTCACCCACTGGAGGCACTGTTACGAGGATGAACATTTAAAAAAAAATTAATTCTAATACTTTCTATTTATTTTGTTAAAGACAGACTTAACACCTTCAGAAAATAAAATGCTATCCAGGTCAGAAATAAAATGTTCTTTATAATATTTAGAAAAGATATTACTGCCTATTGTCTCTCTCTCTCTTCTGTGGTCTACTCCAAGCCAGATATAGATTGGGTTGAATCGAAGAAGTATCAAATAGACTTGATAACCTTGAAGCTAGCTGTCTTGACAATAATGAAAAAAGGGATACTTCTGTTTCTATATTAGCCAAGACCCTCTGATGATTTTTCCTCCTTTCTTTATATTTTCTCCAGTTTGATACTTTTTCCATAATGAAGGGTAATAACCATCCATATGATGTTTTAAATGATACAACCCAAGAATAATACTGGCATCATATCCTGGAAAAGTGTTGCTCCTAGTTATTGAAGAGCGAATTAAGTATTCCTGCTTCACAATAGAATTGAGAACGCTCCCTGCCTACAGTTCCTTTTTATGGGTTTGTGTAATATTTAACAAGTGTTGGGACGTGCATAAATATGCAAGATAGCTGTTTAGATGATTATCTTAGATGTAAAACAAATGAAATATATACACTACAAATGGATATTGCAAAAAAGTGAAGTGATTCTTCTAGGATCAATCAGCCATGTCCTCCTCCATGATAGTTATTCTATTTCCTGTTTGTTTTTTACTTTTCAGTCGATGTTACATGGTTGCAGAATGTATTTGGTCGTTATCAGTTTGGGTAGTAGATTCTTTTGGAGAAATTGTTTTTAACACTGTTTTACTTTTAAGATTATTTGAGATTCTGCCAACTTATATATTATTTATTTAATATGCTGCCTGTCTCACTATCCAAAGCGATTCCATATCTTCTAGTATCTTGTATCTTCCAGTACTTCCCTCTTTATACATGTTATATTTTGGGTAACAAACCGCAGCAATTATTTCTATTCATTATGAGGGAATTAAACTGTAGGGATATTTCGGATTTTGCCATTTTCTTTCTATTCCCCCCCCCCTTTTAACCATCTCATCTAATAAAGAATTCTGAGTAACTTAAAAATTACTGTTATTTTGGTTGGGTTTAATAATAATTGAGAGAGCCAGTTTAGTGTAGTTGTTAGGGCATCAAATCAGAAGACTTCTAGTCTTGCCTTAGGCATAAAGCCAGCTGGGTGATCTTGGAGTAGTCACTTTCTCAGCCCTAGCAAGGAGGCAAAGGCAAATCACTTGGGGGCGAAGGGAACCTTGCCAAAAAAACTGCAGGGACTTGTTCAGGCTCTCTCTGAGAATCAAACGTGATTGAACAGAAGAAAAATAATAATTGGAGACGCTCATTTTTTGTGTAGTTCTTTAAATTTGTTATGTGTTATTTCTAAAATTGTTTTTTCAGTGGACCTATTTTATTTTTTGCACTCCATAAACTATAAACCAGATAGTTAAGGCGCAGAACACAACATAGAATATGTTACAGAACATAAAACATAATATTAACTCAAGCTGTTAGAAATGTGTATAAAGAAAGATTAAGAAACTAAATGTGCTACATTTAAACTCATGGGCATAAAGTTGTCAGTTTCCCACTGGGTGAGTAGGTTGAAGTGCAATGAAATAATAGGTGTCTTTCATACAGCTGGCAAACATACAAAAAGAGAAAGAAAGAGAAAAGAAATGGCGAGAGTGCAGAGAATTGGGAGACAAGAGCATCTTAGTGAAACCTAGGGTGATTCAACTAAATTGAACGTACTTTGTCAAACAAGTCCTTGGGGTACTTTGATGACACTGCTTAGCTTGGTGGAGAGCATGATACCAACTGGGAAATTCCAGGGGCCGTATGCCTTGCCCTCCATGCTTCCCAGAATTTATATCTTTGCTTAGAATTTTAAATATAAACAGGGCAAACTTATTGTTTTTTTGTATCTTACCAAAGTATTGATTCATTAAAAAAAAGTAACTCTTAGTTCAGTGATAGAAGAGCACGTGTCATATATATTTTTGCACTAACTTCAGGTTGGAGAGATGTGTCTTTGAACTTGGAATCCTGATTAACAAAATATAATGTATTGGAATAGCTTGACTAATGGTTGAACCTGGCATATATGTTACCTTTTTATTGTTAAGAATAGTAGGATCAAAGAATTCAACCAACCACAGTAAATAATTAAACTGATGATAAATATAACTCTTTTTAGTGCTGCTTAGGTTCTCCATTTTCTTTAACTGAATTCCATTTACTCTAGCATGATGACAGAGATGATGGTGTTGATTACTGGGCTAAAAGAGGAAGAGGACGTGGTATTTTTCAGCGTGGCAGAGGAAGATTCAACTTCAAAAAATCAGGTAGCAGTCCAAAATGGACGCATGATAAATACCAAGGCGATGGGCTTGTAGAAGATGAAGAAGAAACAATGGAAAATGAAGACAAGGAGAGACGTAAAGAAGAAAAGGTATGTATTGTGCTGTATCAGTTAGGTTTTTTGGTTTTTGTATTGTTAGTTGAATTTTAAATAGGCTAAATACTGTATCGTAATTGTGCATATATTTAAATCTTTTTTATACAGGAATAATAACTCTGAAGATCAGTTGCAGCTGAAAAAAATACTTGCTATCTGCGCAGCATTTTTAATATGACTTGTCATCAAATGAATGTAAGCATTTTACTTAAATTTTACTGTTGGAGAGTAGTTTAGTTTTGGTTTTGTTTCTGTTTTAATCCTTTGGTAATCTCACTAGTAATTGTTGAAGATTATACAAAGCAAGTAGTAAAGGTATGATACTATTTGTCATGATCAACTTTTTAAAATGTGTACTGTTATACACTGTGTAATTTTGCTTTGTCCAAAAGATCTGATTTTAAACAGAGTTGTACTTCATTATCCCCTCCACAGCTATGTTTCATTACAAAATAAAACTTAGGTCTGCGCATTTAGATATTGAGGCAGCATTTTAAAATAAATCTGTACTAAATCTTGGAGCTAATAATTTCCTGGAGCTTTTTGTTTGTGTGGCTTATATTTAAATTGCAAGATTGTATAATCTGGAGTGGGGGGGGCTGATATTTTGTTTAATTCAGCCACTTAAGTAATTGTGGCAGCATGTAAACAGCACTGCAAGGCTAAAATTCTGCAATGAGTTTTCACAAGGCTTGTCCTTGGATAGGTTTGAGAACTAGAGTATCCCAGTAAAATGAGTGTGAGTAGGAGGTTATAAAAGTAATTTGGGGATCTTATTAATTTTCTCATACATTCACATTTCTAGAAAACGATGGGCGTTCTCTTCTGAACAAATCTAGATCTGACAAGTAGAGCTGTAGCTTAACAGGTGCTACGTTTCTCCGTCCACATAATCTTACTTCTAATGGGGAAATGCTTCATCTATTTGTGTAACAGCACTAAAAGTAGTTTGACCTTCTGCATATTCTATTCTTGTGAGAAGACCTATCCTACATTCCAAACCTTTAGGCGTACAGCAGAAAGAGGTAAATTGTAGTGAAAAGTTACCTTTAACACAAGCATGTTTGAGTGTATTGTTTCAGTGTTTATATGCCTAATAGACATAGTCTTATGTAAAACACAGGATGCTATTCATTTATAAAATTTAAACTGTATATAATGAATGTGAAATGGAGTTATTATGCAAGAGCATTAGATGAAGTTTCATTGGCATCTGTTGAAAAATATTGGCCACAAATTTACGGCAATACTGATTCAGCTATTATCGCATCAACATTTTCCCCAATTTGTAAAATAATATTTCTGTGGGTTTTCTTTAGAAAAATAACCTAAACTATGGGATATTTCAGTTGTGTTTTCAGTCCTCAGTGGAATAAAGATGTGAAAATTTAAAAGGAAATGAGCTTGTTATTACAGTTGAATATTACAGAAGCTTTATATCTGTACTATGTGTAAAGCCATGAAGTAAAAGAACTAGATTAAAACCAGAATCATATGAACTAAAACTTTTTAAAATTACAGTTTAATCTTTTTTTTCTAATCACACTTATTTTAACCTTTTGTTAAAGTCTTGAAATACAAAACTGAACAATTCCTGTACTCATGGTGCCATTTTAATAACCTGTAAGGAACAGAAGCTAGTTTACACTAAATCATACTTGCCCTTTTATTTTACTAATGTGTACCATTTCAGCCATCAGGTTTTCAAGCATCGTGAAGCAGAATTTTTTTTTTTTTTTTTTTTTTTTTATAAAAATTCTGAAGCAGAATTTTTATCAAGCCTTTCTATCAGATATTAAACTAAATGTCAGTTTCAAGTTGAGACTTTCCTTATTATGACAGTTTGAAGTACATCTAAATTGATAAATTATAATATCTACATCAAATTGGATCTATTATGACAGATTAGTAGCCTTGCCACTGTAATGGCCACATGAAATCACAAATGAAACTAGATTGCAAACTAGACAGGGCTAAATGGATTGCAATGGTACTTGCAGACATCAAAATGTCTATCACTTCCTTGATGCCCAATAGACTTTCTGCCCCACCTCAGTTGGAGGGATGAGTTGGTGGGTGGATGCATATTTGTAGAGCTCAGTGTATAACATTTGTTTGCAGCAATACTTTTCAGCCTCCCAAAAGTCCCATTAGGCTGGTGAAGAGCAACTGAGAGGTAATTTGTCTTCCCAGAAATAAATAGCTTGTGCCTACTACTGCACTTTAAGGCCTCTCCCCCTCCCCCCCAGCTCATGTTATCCAAATTTCCGATGTTTCCCAAGCCCTGCAAAGTTTTCTCTCCTTGTGACTTTAAACATACATAGGTACCTACAATTGACAGACTAGGGAAAAGAATTATCAATTTTGTCTACAAAGATATTTGACAAAAATTATCAACATTATGTCGCAAAATTTGGCTTGTTTGTAAGGTTTTTTAAAAATGTAATCATTTTTATAAATCTTTGTAATTGGAATTGTTTTGCAAACAGGCACTCATTGAGGGTGCTGCCTTCTTTTTGACTTTTCTTTGTAGCTATTAGCATGCTGTAAATAAAAATTTCTGAGTGTTAAGAGAGAAGATAATTTGTATCAAGTGACAGAATATTTAGCTGATGAAGTATTCTGTTTCATGTTGTCCTGAATAATTTTAGTTCACCACTAAAGTCTTTGGATTATGGATGCATGCAACATTTGGATTTAAATCGCTTCAAACATAAAACAGCATTTCTCAAGCCTTTTGGAAGAGTTTCATCATAATAAGATTTTTTAAATAATATCTTGTGTTCAGAATGGTTCGAAACAATTTTTTTTTTTTTTGCATACTTCAGCTTGGAATCCCTTTCTAGCTATTTGGTTACTAACATAAATCAAAATCCTTGGGATTAAAATTTACTAAACATTTTAGTTCTCATAATGGTATATGGACACTGCATAGGTTAATAGGAGTGTGTCATTGATGGTTAGGTGATAATCCATGATTTCTTTTATCATGACCTGGTTCACAACATTAAGCTAAAAAGTAAGCTTTACTGACCACAGTAATTGGGCTTACGCATAACCTGAAACTAACTGGTGTATTACACTATGTAAACTCAGTCAATCTTCATTACTGTTAAAACAGTTAATTTTTTACAATTTGATTTATTTTTAATAAGATTTCTAGGTTGTCCAGCCCCAACAATTTTGTTCAGGTTAACAAATGCTAACAATATTTTTTTAAAAAATGAGGATAATGCAATTTAGATGGTTCAACAAGTAATTCTATCCTCCAATAATGGATAAACTACCACACCCATTACCCTGACTCTAACTACAACCCTAAAGCCTGAGGAAGTGTAATGTTTTTAATGTACTATTTTAAAGGCTGATAAGGTGGAATCATATGAATCTTGAGGTGGGGATGCACAGAAGGCCCACCTCCTGTAACTGATGAAACTAGAAGTAGCCAACTGTATCAGATGTTATAGGGTGGGCAGAAACCATAGGACACATATGTCCCTTAATTAGCTATGCTCTATGCCAGGGGTATCAAACTGCCGGCTTGCAGGCTGGATGCGTCATGCCCAAATTGCGCCCACTCCATTGTCAGCAATGGAAAAAAAGTCATGATACATCGTGACACGTCATGTCACGTGACGTTGCAAGTTTGACATCCCTGCTCTATGCCATAGAGGGCTTTTAACACTGACAGTTGCTCCCTTAAATTGTATTCCGAAGCAAAGTGGAACCTGTGTAGTTCCTGAAGCAGGGGTAACCGTGGGTATGGGTACAACCTGCCCATTACTTCTCATGCAGCTGTGGAATCACTGGTATCTTCCAAACGATTATCAAACCAACCCTTTTTACAGCGCATTGCAATAAGAAGGGTCTCCCAGTCAAAGAAAGGACACAACTGGTGAACAAGATTAGTGTGAAAGACCCTCCTGAACACAGCTGCTACCTGCCTATCAAGCACTGAGGGGCAAAGATGGAAGAATTTGCACTAGGAATCTCAAATATCCACAACCAATTTTGCTAGGGTTGAGGCTTGGTTTGTTTTTCCTCATCCAATCTTCAGAGCAAGTGCTGTAAAAGGTATTGGGGTTTTGCTGTTGTTTCTTTTAATCAGCAGGGAAAAAAACTACACAAAATAGTAAAAAATACATAGAAGAATAGATGGGCTTATGTTGCCTAGCAAAGTTAGGTAAAACACAATCTAATCTACAGGGAAAAAATACAGAAGAGTAATTGTGTTAGTACTAGTATCTGGAAAGGTGTTCTCTTAATTTGTTTTGACCCTAAAATAAAGGCCTGGGTAAAATACAAAAATAAGAAATGATGAACTAGTACTATCTGCCAAGCAGTCACATAAAAGGGGTTAGCCGCACATTAAACCAGCAAACAATATGCTGTGTTTGAAGACAAAAATATTGTGTGTTTTATAGTGCCATATTTAGGGAGTTCCACTTGGTTCTAATTCTAAGATCTAAGTGTAAAGGTCCGTGCTTTGAGGATAGACGGACAATATAAATACAGCAATGAATGGAGCAGCTCATATAATGTGGAAAAATACCCAGAAGACAATACTTGCTCAAGACTACTTTCATAATGTTTTCAGAAAATTCGGTAGGTTCATTTAAGAGTGCTATCAGCAAATAATAACTTTTCGTTCAGCCAATAAACAATAACGGACCTTAAACGTATTTTTGTAGTAGCAAAAAAGAAAAAAAAACAACTAAATTTTACTTCGGATGAAAAAGACAACCAGTGTGATTACTAGCAGTGCATATCTAAACGTTCCGTGAGAAAGTTCTCTAAACTAGGTAAAGTCTTGCAGTCAAGATAAATACACCGACAAACCATTAGCAGTAGAAGCAATATATGAGTAAAGGTCGTGGCGCACACGCGTACCAAAAGCCTTTTTTTTTTTTTTTTCTTTCCGGGTGATCAATGAATTCAGTTGCACGTAGGCCTCGCTCACGATCTCGTTGACATCAGAAACAGGAAAACAAGCAAACGTTTGATCTTCGAAGGCTAAGTTAGTTGGGAAGACGGAGCAATGCGGTTCAACGGGTGCAGCGGAACACGAGCGACGTGCAGCGGATCAAGTGTCCGGCACTAGTCTTAAGTCAGCGCCTTCTGCAAGGCCGAGCAATAGACCCGGCACATTCTTATTTAGAAATCGACTTTCTCCCCAGTTTGGGGGAAAAAAAATAAGCTTTCGCTTCTGCATCGTAAATTACGGAAATCCTGTGAGCGTGCTTAATTAAAAATACTTTTATTTTCCTCGAAATATCCATTCTTACTTTTCCTCTCTCAGGCATAGATCTATGAACAAAAAAGCAAGCTCTGTGATTGGTTTGAGCGTCAGCTGTTTCCCTGCTCCCGCCTGATTGGCTACACTGATTCACTCGCTCTCCCAATCCCACCAATCAAGAAAAGGGGTGCCAAGTTTTGATTGTCGCGGAGGGGAAGCTTCGAGCCCGGTACCGTCTCTCGCCGCTTTCCCGTAGTTACATTTGGTAAAGAGCTGGCGGGGGGGAGAGGTTGGGGGAGTCTCGCGAGGAGCTCGCGCAGGGGTACCAGCGAAAGGGTCGCCCCGCTGCTTGGTGGGCTTCGTCAGTGTTTCGCAGTTCTTCGACGGGCTGGCAGCTGTGAAACCGCCCCGTCCACGGTGGGTCCGGATGGCTCGCGTCTTGGCCCGCTTGCACCCTCGCCAAACTTCTGTTTGCTTTATCTGCATGTGGCTCTAAAGTGAATTATATAAAGACAATCCCACTGGTCAAATCCAGTAACCAGTTAGCCTTATGTGAAGAACGGTTCTTAAATCCCTGTTCAAAATGCTTTGGGAGTGGCCGTATTACTGCGAATGGCGTAATGCAAAACCAGTTTATATTCATATTTTGTCTGCTTTCTCATTTTTCTTTACATCGGAAGTATATACCAATGTATTTCGATGTTACCATTTCGAGTTAAGAACTAGAATTTAAAACACTTGTTGGAGTCACGTTTAAGTCTTTTTCTAATTTGCTAAGAGACCTTGTGAGATAAGTGTTTTGATAGCATACGAAGACATTTATTGTAAAACATTTTTGTATAAATGTTAGACGTATTTAAAGAAGTATGTAAATGCTTTCAATAAATGTTTTTTTTTATTTTGTAAATCTGATATTTCCCATGTCAATTTAAGAAAAACGATAAATGTTATATAGAAAACAAAAATGATATTTATGTTTGTGAAAGGATCAAATGCCAAACTTCTAATTCAGATATGTTTGGTACTATCAGATCTGGGATGTAAAAATCTGAATAACCTCCAAATAGTAGCAAAGAATTAGTAATACAGATAGTCCTTGATTTACAATCACAATTGAGCCCAGAATTTATGATATTTGTTAAGTGAATTTTGCCCCATTTTACGGCCTTTCTTGCCTCAGCTGATAGGTTTTGCCTCATTTTATGACCTTTCTCACTGCAGTCATTAAGTGAATCACTGCAGTTGATAAATTAGTAACCTGGATGTTAAGTGAATATGGCTTCCCATTGACTTTGCTTGTCAAAAGGCTGCAGAAGGTGATCACATGACCTTGGAACACAACATGGTCATCATAAATATGAACCAGCTGCCAAGCATCTGAATTTTGATCACATGATCATGGGGATGGTACAAAGGTTATAACTGAAAAATGGTCATGTCACTTTTTTTCAGTGCCATTGTAATTTTGAATGCTCACTAAATGAACTGTTGTAAGTAAGGACTACCTGTACTAAATCTCTTTTCCACTATTTTGTGACTGTCTGAATTTTTATTTTGTTAATCTCACAAGTAAAATTCTGATATATTGTTTTGTGCATAAAATACAAAACATCAACGATGTGATTAGAATTAAAAACTAATATGGTAAGCCATCCATGTAAATTATAAATTATTTTAATGGTATGCTGATATCTGGCATTTTGGTAAATGGATCCCTCTGAACTTATACAAGATCGTAGCTTGTACACATGCAACAATACCTAAAGCTATTACTATTTATAATATTGAGAAAATGAATCTGAGAGACTGGTACTTGGATCAAAGCATCTTTCCAAACCAGCCATCTTGCATTCAGAGATGGATATCTTGAATAATCCAAACATAATTCATAAGTTTCATTCCAGCATAGGCGGAATGACATGAAAGGTTTTGCAATTTTCCCTTGTGTGAGAAAAGTGAGTTTTCACTTTAAGCCATAGTCAACCTTTGTCCTGACCAATAAATGTATATATTGCACTGGAAAATTCAACAAAAAGATTCTTGTGATTTCTAGAATTGTTTCCCATTGGTTTCCATCCAATTTTTCCACTGCTTGAATTTTTTTTTCTCTAAGTATCTCATGATTCTGTCACAAACAGTTTGGAAAAGATTTTGTTTGTTTGTTTATATGTGTTAAACTATATAGGAGAATGCACACATATAGTATGTAGGCAAGCTGATTTTTTGTAACTTTAAATCAATCTTATTTTCCTAGCATTGCTTTCTGTTGTTCACAATTGAATATCACAAGCTGCTTTGCATTATGTTTATAAATTGGGTACTGGCATGAAACTAAATGTAATGTATTTTTTTTCTTGCAGCTAAAGTAAATAGTTACTGAACTCTTCTGAGTTCATCAATTTTAATTTGTGTCTTAACAGATTACACTGTTTTCTAAATGTCTCTGCTATTGAATCTCTTACGGCAATTGCTGGAATATTATGGTGTGGTCCCAGAACCGGTAAGCAGATAAGTCTGAAAAACAAATATGTTTTTGCATGATTTTTTTTATATTAAAGGGTATACAGTTCCATACCACTTCTCTTTCTCTTGTCTTCTGAGAATTTCAGCCTATCTCTGTACAGGTGGTCCTTGACTTAAAACCATTTGTTGAAAAGTGACTTACAACCACTCCTTGCACTTAACCATCGCAGTGTCCCCATGAACAAGATGCGTGCACTTGACATGGATTTATGAGGGTTGCAGTGTGCCAGGTTCATGTGATCTCCATTTGCAACTTTCTTTAGCTTCTGAAAGGCAAAGTCAATGGGGGAAGCCAATTCACTTAATGACTGCAGCAAAAAAAAATAAAATTCAGCATGTTTCACTTAACAGTTGTCTCACTTAGTGATAGAAGTTCCGGTTCCAATTGTGGTTGTAAGTTGAGGACTTCCTATAGTTTAATGCAGAACCTTTTAAAGACAAGTGCCCAAAAACTGCCTCCGCCCCATCCCGCCTGCTCTGCCCTGCCCCCATCCTGCCTCGCTCCGCCCACCCAAAGGGCCACTCACCACCTCCACAGCCTGCCGCAGATTGCCCAAGCAGCCCAGCAGTGCCATGGTGGCCACGCCCTCCGTCCGCACCACACAGCATTAACTGCGCGATAGGGCATGAGGGTGGAGTCTTGTCCCCGCTGCCTGGCTGTCATGTCTTTGGCTGTGCTGCTTTGCGTGGGCCATGCTCTGGAGTGACTCTTCTCCAGGGGGGCTACTGGTGAGGCCGCGGGGGAGGTGGGACTGGGGCAATGGTGTGTGTGCCCACAGAGAGGGCTCTGAGTGCCACCTCTGGCACACGTGCCATAGGTTCGCCACCACTGGTTTAGTGCTGCAAATGGAATGGAATTTGAAGTTTACCTTTCAAGTCGATTGCTGTTAGTAGCCGTGAACTGAGCGCCACATATTCCTGAAGCTAAATTTATTTTAATCATGCTGCAAATGACACAACTAGCAGTGGTGAGAAATCACAACCTTAGTATACACATATTTACATTACTTAGAAGCAGCTGCCTGCTGTGTTTTACTATAAATAACTTTAAATTATAATTTTATACCTCTTCACTGTAAATAATATATCTGTTAAAAGTGTTTTTGCAGCCCACCTATGGTAGCCCTAATGTTACAAAAATTGTACAACTGAAGTTCCCATTTGGAGCTAAGTCACTTGTTTTGTTCTTTTTCTTCCAATTCAGGCCTTGCAAAGGTGTAAATTTTATCTCAATGGCCTTGTTCGTATGATTGGATCTCGTCTTTCTTCAAATGCCTTTTCAAGAAGATACTTCCAAGAATTATGTATCATTTCCAGGAATTGTTTGGTGAGGTCATCAATACTCCCCCCCCCTTTTTTATTTCTAGAGGTTATATTAAAATATGTAGATATTTGTGTATTGATTGCATCCATTTTGTTTCATATTACCTTTTCAGCCTTAGATAGCTTGCTTTCTTAATTTGCCATTGCTATTAATAGGGAATGAAAACATACTGGCATTTACCTACTGGTAGCATCTCCAACAACAGAATTCTACCCTCTTAGAGAGGGGGAAAGGATAGTTCAATCTGTATATCTCACAAATATTTCCTCTGTAGGACTGGAAGTTCCTATAGGATACTATGGAAGATGGCACAGGGGGCTATAAATTTCCATCCCTTTCCATTGTCAGGGCTTTCTGGTACCTTTCACAGAATGAAAGTGTCTTTTGTAAGCAGAACTTGAATCTAACTTTTATAAAGCAACATTTTAATTTTTTTTAATAATTTAAAAAAATACAGGTAGTCCTTGACTTACAACTTCATTTAGTGACCATTTGAAGTTACAATGGCACTAAAATAGTGACTTATGTCCATTTTTTCACACTTATGACCATTGTAGCATCCCCATAATCATGTGATCAAAATTTAAATGCTTGTCAATTGACTCACATTTATGACGGTTGCAGTGTCCCGGGGTCATGTGATCACCTAGTGTGACCTGACAAGCTGTCAAGGTTCCGATAGACAAGACCAAACAAATTAGAACTCCGAGGCTTGAGATTTCCTCAAAGAACACATTTATTGATTACATAGCATCGGCACGGTCAAAAGTGAAACCAAGCCTGAAGTTCCCTTCAGAAAGCAACAATATTACAAAGTTGAACTCCCCACCCCAGAGCTATGCAATTAGCTGCGTTCCCCAATAGAAGAGTTTGGCAGGCTTTCTAACTAAATGCTCCAGCCCCTATCTAACTGACAGAAATGATCTTGGTTCCCACGGGACAGTAAAATGTTTAGACTAGTAGAAATCCTCCATCCCTCTCCGAAGCCTGTGGCAACTGAGAACGAAGGAAATGGCTGCAGCCAGGTTTGTTGTAGAGTTGACACAAGCAAAGTCAATGGGGGGGGGGAAGCAGATTCACTTAACAACCATGTTTCTAACTAAACAGCTGCAGTGATTCACTTAACAACTGTGGCAAGAAAGATCATAAAATGGGGCAAAACTGACTTAAAAAATGTGTCATGCCTCCGTCTGAGCCTGAATCTGCAGAGGAAAATGAACTGGAACAGGACCCTATGGAGGCCTGGCTTCAGAGGAATGTGGGGAAGAGCAGACCAAGGCAGGCCAGGGCCCTTCAGGATTGGAACAGGAGGAACAGGAAAGGCAGAGTTCAGGCGATGAGCAAAGGCCACCCCCACCTGATCCTAGAGCACAGAGAATGGAGAGAAGGAGGGAACAACGCAGGCAGGCAGGCTCAGTTACTCGTAGGCTCAATTACTCGGGAGGAGAGCATTGCCCTTCTCCACAAGGAACACCTGGAGATTGAGATTTAAGAAGACGCTGTGGGAAGGGGCATTTGTTGGGAACAAATGCTGATTCTTGGAGTGTTGTGTATCGTTGCTGATCTTTTCTTCTGTGACTTCTGTTTGGAAACCTGGAAACTCGAACTGTATTTCAGATTCTCTCTTTTGAAAACTGCTCAGGCAAGCTAGGATTCAAACAGACTCATTAAGTTTACGTTTTCTTCCTTGTTATCTCTATGGCCTTGAATACTTTCTTATGCTAATCAGACTGTATTTGAACCTATTTTCAGCCAGAGTCGGCTGAAGAGGTGTGTGTGTCCTTTTGTTGGAGGCTTGCCAGCAAATGTGGGAGCATTTGGGGAAAATTTGGAGCAATAAAAGAACTGTTTGAATTGCCAGCTGACTGCATTGCCTCTGCTGTGCCCTGGGTCATCACAAAATGTTTTACTTAGCAACATAAATTTTGAGCTCCATTGTGGTTATAAGTTGAGGATTACCTGTACTAATTAAATAATTGTAAATCATATTATATTTTCTTTACTATATCAGATATACCAACATTTAGTTGATATATAGTTAAAATAGTTAATTAACTTTTATGCAATTTTTTTTTCATTTAAAAATGTTTCTATTTAACTTCAACAATTTTTTCAACCCTTAGATATCCTGGGTTTCAGAACGAAAAAGATACGGATCTACCCGAAGTTTTGTTCGTAGATTGGGAGCATGTCTTACATTAATTCCTTTTTCAAGACCTCACTTTCAGGTATATGAGATATTTGCAAAGTTTAGAATTAATAACTTGTTAATTTATTTTTTTTTCCAATATTGCTATATATAGCATGGATTAATAGAGAAAACATATTTATCATTTGGGGAAAAGTTGCACATGAATTAATAGAAATGCATTTTAAATAACAGTGGCCATTGTAAAATAATAAGTAAAAAAGATTTAAATTTATATGTCATAGTTGCCTAGATTTTTATGAATATATAATTGAAATATCAAAATAGATAACTAATTGCAGCTTTCAAAAGCCGAATTTCAGACAATGAATGAACTCCTTCTTGCTACTTTGAATAATGTTTGAATGCAGTTTGTTAAAATTTATGATACCGAGTATATACATCGTTGTATGCTGCTGCTGTTATACTTCAGGTGAAAAATGGTGCAACTGTCACTATTAAAAATGAATTGGAAAACATTATCTTATCACCTTAGTATTCATTCTGAGGGAGATTAATAAGGATTTTAGTCATTGTATTTTAAATATCTTTAAAAGTTATATAGGAAATCTTACTTACTTTAGCTCCTTACCTAAAAATGGATGAGTAGAATTTTGAAAGATCTAAAAATTGTTGAAGGATTAGTATTATCAGTGTTAAATAATACTAATAATGAACAGTATATCTTAATTCTTTTGTTTACACTTATCAGAGCTACTTGCAGGGACATGAGGAGGGGTAGAAATAACAAAGAGTTAGGTGGTTCTTGCTTAGCAACCACTCAATCAGTGGCCGTTGAAATGCACTTTTGTACTTACAATGGTTGTAGCATCCAGCTTGCCATTATGATATTGCAGTGTCCTGTTTGTGACCTTATCTACCAGATTCCTACAGGCAAGTTCAGCGGGAAAGCTGGCAGGAGGTCACAAATGGCGACCACATGATGTCCTTTCCATAAGCACTTGGGGTGATTTGCTTAACAATGGTAACCAGAGATGCCAGAATGTCTATTGCTAAATCATGTAATGTCATGATTTACAACTGCTTTACTTACCCTGTAATTCTAGTCCTAAATTAGTATCTGTAAGCACTGCAATATCACAGTGCAAGCACGGTGCTTGCATACCAATATGGTTCATTCTAATGAAACTGGTATTCTGCAGACTCTTCTGCTCCTTCATTGCTTCTTTTCTATTGCGAAGGTTTGATATTAGAACAAATATGCATCTTTTAGACAACTGCTAGAAAGCTAATAATTAAAAACAATTGTTTTATATAAAAGTGTGTTTATGATGCTTTAGCTGGTCCAAAGTCTGAACTCTTTAGAAGAACAATACAGCATCGTTAATTCTGTTCAGCTGTCTCTTGCCGATGCCTTATGGATGGTAGATGAAGACAGAAATCCATGCACTAAATTCAGGCAAGTAAAACCAACTAGACTTTTTCACGTATTGTCAGGTGCAAGCCAAAGATGACCCAATTAATCCAATTAATTCCAATCTTTTTTTTTTTTTTTTGCTTATACCGAATGGACAGAATCTTGCCAAACTAAAACTATAATCTTCTACTCTCATAGAACTATCCTGAGGGATTCCAGGATGTGGCTTCTCTATCAATCTTCCCCCTTTCCCCATCCAACTTAGGACGGCACATTCTCCTAATCTGGGTTTCTCTCTGATGGAATCACTATCTTTATTCAGTCAATGATTTATATGCTATAATTAAGAAAATTAAAAATAGTGACATAGAGCTTAACCCTGTAAAATTACAGCGCTATAAGGAATTGAGAAGATTTAAATAAATAAGAAAGCAAATCATAATTAACTCTTACTGTTGATTGATTAAGTATCAGTATTTTTGAAATGGAATGGTTTTGTGCACACAGTCATCAGTTTATGGATTTTGAAAAACCAATGCAATGCAAATAACAGAAGCCCTGATGCTATAAAAATACATTTATTTTTCTGTTTAGGGTGCTATTTATAGCCAATTGTTTGGCCTAAACCCTTCTGAATTCAGTGCTACTTCTGTACATATGATTGTGTTGTAAACATTTCAGTCTACGTGTTAGGCTTGTGAGTTCACTTTATTCCCAAATGTCTTGGCTTTTGGAATGCTTACATTTATTTACACAGTGGTATCCTGATATTTTCTAGATTTGAGGACTGGAGAGGGGTTGCCACTCCATCTGTACTTTCTTTGCCAATTACTCCAAAAGAAAAAAATGAAAAAACAACTGTTGTGGGTGAAGATGCATTCCAAAAAATTCATGTTCTTGAAAATGAATTAGCACATCTTCGTAAACAGATTGCTGCAATTTTGGCAGCAGATAGGGCAGTAAATGATCAATCCCGTAAGTATGTCTATCTGGATTCAAATGAATGTGTTTCTATGTGTTTTTCTTGTTCCTAATGATACTAAGTCATATTGCCATCTGACGGCAGCTTTTATGTAGAAAATTGTTTTGCTTATAATTGCTTCAGGTTATGTTTGCACCTAAGATTTACTCATTTTACCACCAACAGTAAGAGAAGATGAGCCCAGATTCTTTCTAAACATAAAACAACTAATTAACTTACTGGGCAGGGGAGATATTGGACTTTGAGCTTGAATCTTTAAAAAATTGCACATTTATTTCTACTTATTTTTAAGAAAGATGTGCATGTGTTTCTTAGATTCCAATGTGCCACTTGACAAATTTCTTTTGAAATGGAGGACATTTTTTTAAACAGATGGCATGGAAATTTCTTTTCAGAGGAAAAAAAATGAATTCTCAAATTTTGTATTTTATTATTAATAAGAACGTTAAAGGAATGTAGCCCAGGGTGAGAGATGAGATCAAAATTATCTAATCATCCTTGTGATTAATTAGTATCGAAACCAGTGTCGTGTAGTTTTGCTTTTCTGTCTTTTGATTTCATTAGCTTCTTTATTTATGCTTTCTGGTTTTCAAATGTAATACTGTTCTAAAATAAGCAGTCACTATTTGGTATTTACATTTATTCATCAACGCTACAGGTGCCTGTTTTAATATTACCTCTCTCTTCAACTGTCTAATAGGTTCAGATACTGGGACTTTATCAAACACTCCTAATAATTTTCTGCAGCCAGGAATGTTTTCTACGCCAGCTCCTACTTCTCTTTGTAACGTAGTCATACCTCCACCTCCACCACTGCCACCTTCATTTGTGTTAAAATCTGATTTTGATTCCCGTAATTCGGCAGTTCAGCTTATTAAACAACGTCGGGCTATAAAGACTGAAAAGATTAAAGACAATGCTGAACATCAGACAGTTAAAGTTATTCCTGATATGATGGATGTTCTCAAGGATATAAATAATGTTAAACTCAGAGCTATTGAGAAGTAAGTTGAACAAAATGTAAGTTCTTTTTTTTAAAAAAAGTGCTGTTACCAACTTATGAAACTACGTGGCTTGGTTCTTAGTTATCTTCCATGAGAAGCAGCCCAGCGCTTCACTTTAAAGGGGTGAAGGAGCCTGAAACTCAGTGCCACCACTGTCTTTTCAGTGGCTGTCCTGGTCCTTAGGAATAGCAATTGGTTTTCACCCTGACCGCCTCCCCAGGGTGTGTAGGGCACAATTCTGCCTTGGTTTCATTACAGCTTGGTTTGGTTAATTTGATTCTGTTCTATGTTTTCATTAGGGCCTTTCATTTTTATGCCTTTGATTTTTGTAATTTGTTTTTGTCTATTGTCCTTGTACATTGACAAGGGATTTAGTAGTTTATAAAAGTAATAAATAAATTTCCTTAGGGATTTAGTAGTTTATAAAAGTAATAAATAAATTTCAGCCTTGCAAAGAATATTCCTTTCTGGAATAGGTTTACTTGGAAGAGCTAGGAGTTTAGTTCTTGCTTTTAAACAGTACAGATAGCCCTCAAATTATGGGCGGCTGCTTAATGGTTGTTTGAAGTTGCTGCAAACTTGAAAAAAGTTACTTAAAATCTGGCCTTGAAGTTACAACTGTTGCACCGTCCTTGAGGTCATGTGATTGGGCACTTGGCAACCAGCTTACATTTATGACTGGTAGCAGTGTCTTGCAATCACACAATCACTTTTTGTAACTTCTTTTGCCCTTTTTAGCATAAAACACCTATTGGATAAACTAGTTTTGGATACACAGCCACATGATTCATTGAACAAACAAGTGATTCACTTAACAACCATTGTAAAATCAACTCCAGTCACATAGTAACTCACGAGTGCAATGTCTCATTAACAAAATTCTGGGGTCAGCTGTGGGTTGTAAGACTAGGAGTACCTGTAGAGTAAAAAAAAAATAGCAGAGTACAGTTGAAACAGAATGCTGACTGCTGTATAGCTCCCTGCAAAACAACATGTGCAATATTGCTACAGTTCATAGGGCAATCAAGGGTCCTCTAGAACGGAGGATGCTGAATAAATTAGAACAAAAGCAGATTGGAATGTATAATACATGCTTTGATTTTTCAATAGCAATGTCTTGCGTTAGAAATTACACATGTTCTGCTTTTCTTTCTCCAGATCTCCTGGAGGTACACCTCTACCCAAAAGAAATAAAATAAAGCAATCTCAGTGGGATCCAGCAGCTTTAATAGCAGAAGCTCTTAAAGAGAAATTTGCATCACAAAGCAGTCGTGATGATTCATTTGACAAAGAGAACAGTTCTTATGGCACTTCACCATTTTCTAGTCCAGATACTCCAATGGTATAGATATGGTTCTTTTCTTAAAGTAGTTTTTTTTTTCATTTGAATAAGATTCGTAATCATACAGAAGAAAAAATATTCTGGGGATGAAAAAAAAAATCAAGATAAATATTATATAGATAATCCAGAGACAGAACTTAATGATCACAGCTGGAACTGTATTCTTATTTGTATCCCATGAAACATTGAACATATGGGAGGGTTCACGGCTCTTGAGTGATTTGGAATGGTAGTTCAGAGTCTAGAATTATTGTAAGTATTGTATTACTTTCTCACAGTGCTCTGAATAGGAGACTTGTATTTTCCCCTGTCTCTAGTCTTTTCTGCGATGCTTGATGATGGATGCTTTTTATATGTTCTTTAAAGTTTAATACAGGTAGTCCTCATTTAGAGACCACAGTTGGGACCACCCATTTTTTCGCTAAGCAAAGTGGTTGCTATGTGGAAAATCATCTAACTTCAACTGTGCTTTCCAGCTCAAAGTGACAATACTGTTCTGTTTCACATCTTCAGCTTTTATTTGCTCCTAACCACTCCCCTGGTCTTTGGAATGCTCACCCTGGCACTGAGATCATTAGGAAGAAGGGAAATAATGTTTGTATTTATACATATTTATATTTATTGCAGAAGAAGGGAGTATGAGAGAGTAAGCAGGCACAAAATGGAGAATACATATTGAAAGCAATGCGCTTGTGCTGGCAGCTACAAGGGTGCTGTGCAAACAGTTTTGTGTATTTACAACTGTGTGCCTTTTTATCCTGTCCTCTCCATGTTTTCTGCTCTGTTGGGGTAAGTGGATGAGTCAGCCACAGGAGAGATTGCCTATAGAAATCACTTGCTTTCCTTCCACACCTTGCAGAGTGGAGAGATTGGAAAGGAAGAGATTATAAGAGAATAAAACACACAAAGCAGAATACACTGAGGTATTTACATAGCATGTTAGTGGCTGCCAGCATCAGCACCTGGCTTTCAGTGTATATTCCTCATTGTGTACCTGCTTAGTTTCTTGTAATCTCTTCTCTCCAATCTCTGTTCTGCAAGAGGTGGAAGGGGGAAAAATAAAGGTCAGGTGTAGACACCAGTGCTGACTAATAGCAATCACATGGTTGAGTGACAGCACCATAGTTGCTGAACGAGACAGTAAGTGAGGACTACCTGTGTACATATTAGAAATGTTTAATATAGACAATTGTTTAATATAGACAACTGTTACTGTGATAAGTTGCATCAATTCAATTTATGACTGGCTTTGGTGGATAAATGACAGCTGGAATGAGAAGGCATTTGGTCAATATAGGATTTGAGAGCAATATTATGCATTGATTCTTGTCCTATTTGTCTGAGCACTTTTAAAAGATAGCACTGTTGAGTCCATTTCTTTGTTGATAATTGTGGTTAGCATGTGGTTCCTCAGCATCCTTTTGGCATTCAAAGGGCCCTGATTTTCAGATTATATACAGTTCTAGGGTTAGACACCATCACAATGCTTGTGATAACCATCTATCACTCATTGTATGAAAGCTGTGATGAATTGAAGTAAGGTAATAAGCTGAGATTCAGTCAGGCCAATTGAAAGTTTTCCTCGGAAGACAGACTAATAGGCCAGAGATATTGCCTGTTCTGAAAGGAACTGAACTCTTCCGAAAAAATGGTTTTATAACTTCTGCATCAATTGTTCTTTTTAGGCTATAGATTTGATGCTCTGTTAAATGAACCTTTGCTCTCTTTTAGCTGGTACCCATGTAGCAGTGTTCCTAGACTCAGGGAAATCTTTCTACTATGATCCTTGTCTTAATCATCTCCCATTTAAACCACTGTTGTGGATCCTACATGGTTTTGCTAATGAAGCTGTAAATAATATAAGATAACAGCTCAATTGCTGACAATATTACATAAATCACACGCCAATTCCACTGGCTTCCATTCTGTTTCAATACATGCTGAAAATGCTAGTACAGTTTTTCTTTGACTTTAATTATATTGTCCACTTTTAAAAATGAATTATTTATTCTTTAGATTTATTATATTTTATATATTTTAATTTGTATGTCACCTTGAATCAAAAAGCAATACAATTAGAAATAAAATGTTTTTGATTACAGGTTGACTATCGCATTTTGAAACCAAGCACGAAGCAGAGACTTAACAAAACTGAGAAACTAATAAATTCATCATCTTCAAAATCAAAACTTCATATGTAGCCATGATGTTGATCTTGTGGGACCAGCTATGACTATTAAGGACTCTTTTCTTTGATTGCATTGTACAAATACTTACAAATCTAATTGTTCTGAATTGTGCTAACAGAGTGTTTACATGAATTTTTTATTGCATTTTTTATCATCTATAAATCTACAGGTTTTTTGTATCAGTTTTATGATATTTATGCAAAGTGTTAAGGCCAGTGAGTAAATGTGTAAAAAGATAGTAATATGGAAACAAAATATAGAGGGAAAAGTTACATTTTAACCTAGTTTAAACAAAAATACTATATTGTTAAAAAAATGACACCTTCCTAAAAAGATTATGTTACTTCCTTGATATATGGAAAGAATCATTTTAAGTTTCCCTAACTGATGCTTATACCATTTGCTTCCTCTTGTGTACAAATGAACTTTCTGCTGTTGTGAATATAGTGGATGATCATGAAGAAACAATGGGATCTATATTGATATTTGACATTTATGATACAAATGTTACTAATGTGACTTCTTAGTATCTCTGTAAATTTATTTTCTGAAATAGCTTTTTTAATGTATGTGCAGATTGTTATACTTTTTCACAGCTTAAATGTATCAAGTTTTACAGTTCTTGTGTGTTTGTCAATGTTTATGGAGGGCCATAAGCTCTCATTAATAATAAGCCCCTTGTCTTGTAATGCCCAGATGCTAAACATAGGGGACTCATCTAAAATTAGTTCACACATCTCCACAAATAGCTAAATCAGCTTTGTCTGATCTGGTTCCAGAAGCAGTAGGCAGCAGTCACTGTGAATCCCAAGAACTAAAAGTTGCCTATTGTAAATGTATGTGTACCATTTCTGCTGGTATGTTCCTCATTTTTATAGTTATTTGCAATTTTCTTCTGTATACAATTTGAAATTGTATTGTTCCCGGCAGTGATCCTTTCAACTGGAAAACTTTGATAACAAGAATAAATCTAGCCTAAGATAGTTGGTTTCCTTATCAAATATGTAGGTGCTTCTTTCTGGGAGTATATTGACTCATACTTCGCTGTTGTATGTTGTTACAGGCTTTTTTCTTGGGTAGGAAATATTTCTGCACTTATATTTGCAGAGATGTACAATGAAATTTTAGCAATTATTTGTAATTTGCATTGGGATGTTTCAACTAATATATTTAGGCACCTTCCTTAGTAGTTGAGTCTTTAATTTAATTTAAAGTGGCTTGCATGTAGCTTTTTTATTAAAAAAAAAAAAGGGCTGTGCCAAATAGTTACCCTTACTAGAAGAAAACATCTGAAACAGTGTATGATTTATTCTGCTTAGTAGGCTAGTTTCTTATTTTCCAGAGTGATAACATCATATATACTGTATCAAATCTTCAGAACATTGTCTTCTACCTGTAGAAAAATGTGAACGCTCTTTCTTTCAGGAAGAGACAATCTCTAATTACTATTACTATGGATCATTGCACAGTCAGCCAGATGTTCAGACTGGATTTGGCATTTTGTCTAACTATCGAGTCCTTACCCAGGACTTGGGATAGGCAGATGTGGATATTTGATGGTATTACAGATATCGTCGCAGGATGGAAGCAGTTCCTAGTAAGGCTGCCTTTTGCAATTGACTAATAGCAAATTTGTCAATGCCAATGGTGTTCAAGTGGTGCTCCAGTTGTTTTGGGATTGCATCCAAGGAGCCTATTACTATTGGCACTACCCTTGCTTGCTTTTGCCACAGTCTTTCTATTTCTATTTGTAGGTCTTTGTATTTTGTTATCTTCTCCAGTTCTTTCTCTTCTATTCTGCTGTCTCCAGGCACTGCCACGTCCACTATCCAGACTTTTTTGTCTTTCTTATCGACAATTGTTAAGTCTGGGGTGTTATGTTGCAGGTGCTTGTCTGTTTGAATTCTGAAGTCCCAGAGCAGTTTAATTTTATCATTTTCTATGACTTTCTCTATTTTATGATCCCACCAGTTTTTGCTTACAGGCAAATGATATTTTTTGCAGATCTTCCAATGCACCATTGTTGCTACTTTGTCATGCCGCTGCTTGTAGTCAGTCTGTGCAATCTTCTTGCAACAGCTTACCAGGTGGTCCACTGTTTCTTCAGCTTCTTTGCATAGGCGGCACTTACTGTCTGTTGCTGTCTTCTCAATTTTGACTTTATATGCATTTGTCCTTAAGGCTTGGTCTTGTGCAGCCAGAATTAGTCCCTCGGTCTCTTTCTTCAATTTTCCTGCTCTTAGCCATTGCCAGGTCTTGTTATTATCTGCTTTCCCAGCTATTTTTTTAATGTATTGGCCATGTAGTGCTTTGTCTTCCCATGCCTCTATTCTGTTCTTCATTTGGTCTTTCTTGTAGGCCAGTTTGGTCTCTCCAGTAGTAGTAAGCCTTCCTGATATACTAATTTCAGTGCATCTTCATCATTGTTCTTCAGATATTCTTCCAAAGCCATTTTTTCTTCTTCAACCATCTGATGTACTTGTAGCATTCCACGCCCACCTATTTGCCTTGGTAGATAAAGTCTATCAATGTCACTGCGTGGATGAAGGGCATGATTCATTGTCATTATTTTTCTGGTCTGCCTATCCATTGCTTTTAGTTCTGCTTGAGTCCAGTCCACTATTCCAGCTGTGTACCTAATGACTGGGATTGCCCAGGTGTTGATTGCCTTTATGGTATTTCCTCCATTGAGTTTGGACTTTAAGATCTTCTTCACTCTCTTGATGTATTCACCTCTAATCTTTTTCTTGACTTCAGTGTGCTTGATGTTGTCAGCTTGAAGGATACCCAAGTATTTGTAGTAATCTTCCTCATCCAGACTCTTAATGTTATTTTCGTGAGGCATCTTGATTCCTTCAGTTTTCACTACTTTTCCTTGTTTGATAGATTATTATTATTATTATTATTAAAAAAAGAACAGAATAATTATTGGATAAGTTGAACATATTTTTACTTCTGCATGGATGCATGTGTTGTGTCACTGATTTTTTTTCTCACTGCATAATGATTGTCAGACGACATTCCAAGTTGTATATTGTAGTTTTGCATACATTTATTGTAGTTCAAAATTTAATAACTGAACACAACAGAAAATGTCTGCTGTGATCTAAAACTCAGAATTTAATTTTGTTTTGTTGGATTCTGGCTTTGATGGTTTTTGTGAATAACATTTTGTATGCTTTTGGCTTAAACGTATTATGCACAATGAACAGGATACAAGATACATTCACATCACTTACCTGAAGTATTCATTTCCATTAGACACCTTTAGAGCAAGTAGCACATTTTGAGAAATACGCTAGCTCATGCAAATAACCACTAGAGGGCAGTAAGACACTATCTACAAACAATTGTGTCCTTTGATGAGACCCCCTTCTCAAAGCTATTTATTCCCAGTTTTCAGGCCTACAGAGGTGTGCAGGTAATTTGCTTTTATATATATATATATGTATATGTATATGTATATATGTATATATGTATATATATATATATGTATATATGTATATATATATATATATTTAGTATTTAAAAGTTGTGGACTCTTCTGCCTTGCTATTAGTCCCTCATTTCGTTTCCTCCCCCAAGTCCTGACTGATGCAATTGCTCAGTCTAGATATCCATAAGTAGCTGCTGGTGCAATTTGCTTTGGGTCATAACAAACTTACTATTTGTTCCTAACTGTATTGATTTCTGCCTTTGCTCAGGATGCTTCCTGTCCTATATCCCCTTTACTATTTTGTGTATTGATACAAATATCTGTGGAATGAAATCTGAGCCATCCTGGTGCATAATTAGCCTGTGCTTACAGCTTCCAGGTGTGCTATATGGGAAAAATATAGTTTAGTACACATATTAGTCCATAGGACCAGAGTAGAGTAGAGTAGAATAGATAGAATAAAGTAGAATAAGAACAGAACAGAACAGAATAGAATAACAGAGTTGGAAGGGACCTTGGAGGTCTTCTAGTCCAACCCCCTGCTCAGGCAGGAAACCTTATACCATTTCAGATAAATGGTTGCCTAATCTCTTCTTAAATTCTTCTTAAGTAAATAATAACAGTACACTTGGAACAGAAATATGGTGCTGCTCGTCAGACTTAGGTAGATGTTAAATATGATTCATACATACGATTTTACATGTAGTCCTCATCTTATGAAAATTGGGCCCATAATCTCTGTTGCTAAGTGAAACATTTTGTTCAGTGAGTTTTGCCCCATTTTATGATCTTTCTTGCCACAGTTGTCAAGTGAATCACTGCAGTTGTTAAATACATAACAAGTTTTTGAGGGCATTTGGTTTTTGACTTTGCTTGTCAAGACGGCTGCAAATGGGATCACATGACCCCATAATATGAGTCAGTTGCCAAGCATGTGAATTTTGATCATGTGACCATGGGAATGTTGTAACGGTCTAAGTGAAAAATTGTCACAACACTGTTTTCAGTGCCACTGTAACTTTGAACAGTCATTAAATGAAGTGTTGTAAGTTGAGGCATCCCTGTATGGGAAAGAGTGAAGAATAGGGTATCTAATTTGAAATTTACTCATAAGCGTAAAGCCCTCCAGAAGCCTTGAAGTTGAAGGCTTTCACTGCTATAGGACCATGGCAGGATGCAATTATGTAGGAAGATTTCCAATGGCAATTTGCTATGTTCAGCCTGCTGGCAGAAGGCAAGCTATGCTTTTGGATGGGGTAAAAATTCTCCTGTATCTTGAAATACCAAGTTAGGAAAGCACAAAGCCAGGGTCTTTTTAAATGGAAGACATGACCTACATGCACACATGCACCACATTACTGGAGTTTTTATATGGTCTTTATATTGTTCTTGAATGGTATTTTTTTAGTGTTTTATAAGTTTTTTTTAACTGTTGTGAACTGTCCAGAGTTACATATATGAGATGGGTAGCTATATAAAATGGAACAATAAATTAATTGGTTTGACATAAATAGTATGATATTTAAAAAGTTTTAAATATCCCTTTAGTTTTTAGCATCACTGAATAGCAGCCACAGCGTTTCACAAAAAGCCTGGACTGAACTACAATACTAAGCCTTAAGATGTTTTTTTTCAATGTGTGTGCATATTTGCTTTAAAATACCTGAACCCACCTTGGCCAACTAATTTGTTCCACAAAGCATGTCCTTAAAATTGTGATATGCTGATAGTGGCAAATTGGCACAGGGTAATTATAATTTATTAGCCTGACTTAATTCTATTTTGCTTTGAGTTTCTACTGCTGCCAGTCATAGAACTACAGCAAAAACCAGCCAACCAACCAAAATCATGCTTATAGATTAATATGGTTTTTTTCTTGATAATTGCGAAGTCGTGTCTGACCCATCGCGATCCCCATGGACAATGTTCCTCCAGGTCCATCGCGACCCCATGGACAACGTTCCTCCAGGTTCTCTAGAGTCCCCTAAGATGCTGCTGCTGCTGCTGCTGCTGATGGTGGAAGGGACCTTGGAGGTCAACTAGTCCAATCCCCTGCTCAGGCAGGAAACTATACCATTTCAGACAAAAGGCTGTCCAGTCTCTTAAACATTTCCAGTGTTGGAGCATTCACAGCTTCTGGAGGCAGGTTGTTCCACTGATTAATTGTTCTAACTGTCAGAAAATTTCTCCTTAGTTCTTGGTTGCTTCTCTCTTTGGTTAGTTTCCATCCATTGCTTCTTGTCCTGCCTTCAGATGCTTTGGAGAATAGCTTGACTCCGTCTTCTTTGTGGCAACCCCTAAGATATTGGAACACTGCTATCATGTCGCCCCTCGTCCTTCTCTTCATTAAACTTGACATACCCAATACACTTCCTTTTCCTATTCATTTCCTCGTTGACAAAACTTCCCTTGCCTGCCAGCTTGCCTAGTTTTGTAGCAGTCTTGAAAAGTGAGAAAAGTCTAAAAAGGTCATTTACTTACATGCAGGGACATGGGTTATTTTTTAAATTTTGTATATGTACTTTATTTTGTTATATATTAGTCACCTGTCTTTGTATTCAATGTACCTTCATTTAATGCTTACTAATTCTCAATCGTATCCTTATTTTATCGTACATACAGTGTTCTTAAGCCCATTAAGCTTAGGTTTACCTAGCTCCTGATATACCCACACCCTTTCCATATAACAATTGGGCAGGAACAGGCTCTTAAAAATGTCATCTTTTTTTTTTTTTTGACAAACATTCAGTTGTAGCAACTGACCTCACATTAGCTACTAACTTTCTATCAATATTTGCTTAACTTAAAATTTCTCCATCCAGCTCTGCTGTCTTGAAGTATTTGCTAAGCACTGCATTTATTCTCCTGCATGGCCATTGTAGACCACTTTTATTGCATTCAGTGATTAACCTTTCTATATGTGTACAAAATCATTCCATAATTTCCACTTATTCCTTTTATTATATTTTCTTTAAATGAAATGTCAAAAACTCGAAAGCACTAAGGACAAGTTCATTAGGCCAAAGACTGCAACAATAATATTAAAGTCTCCGGTGAGTAAAAAATGAAGTTATCATGGCATGTTATTAACCATACTTTTTTTTTAAAAGTACTTTTTACTTAACTGGCAGCATTAACTAAAGCACCAGTTTTGGGTTTGTTGCCAAATAACAAAATCATTAAATTCAATTATGTGAAATTTGGTAACCACCTGTAAGAGGCAAATATGCGTAATAATTACGTTCAGTTCTGGATAACAGCTACCAGTATTAGCTCTTCCCTTTAAAGGAGAAAAGCCTCGTTTTATTATTTTGGTATGAGTCACTCATAAGAAGTTATAATTTTTGGAAATTTAGCTCAGTTTCAAATTGCATTTGATGGAAAGCAGGCTAGAAATGATTAAAGAAAATACTGCATGACAGGAAGAAGCAATATCCTTCTCTTATTTTCCAGGTATATTGAAAGAGAAACCCTTGGAAGCTTGGTTTTTTTAAAATAAAGGTTAAGGGTTTTTATTATATTTTGGTCTGCCAGCATGTTAGGGCTGCTTATTTTGGGATGTATTCTATTTGCCTATTTGAATTTATCTGCTGTCAGCAAAACCTTTTTGGACGTAAGATTTTACCACTAGTGGTGGCCAAGTTAAGATTTGAGCCAACCTATTTATCGCTCACATCATTTCATTAAGGTCCACACCTCTAATAATATAGTAATCTTTATTACTTTCTAAGTAACTCAAAGCAGTGAACATACATTTCTGTGAGGTGGATTGGATTAAAAAAGAAAAGTAAATGGCCCAAAGTCACCCATCTGGCTTTCATATGAGGGAAGTCAGCCCCCCAGATAAGGAAATATTAAAAGGGCAGAAAAATGTATTTCCTCAAAAGGATTTTAAAAGCAGAAACCAACCCTGCCCCCAAGTCTCTCTGTCCCAAGCAGAAGCCAGCCCTGTACAGGTGCAGATGAAAACCATCAGAAAGGTCCCAGCTAGGAGATCAAGAAGACAAAGACCTAAAATCTGTATATCCCACCTGAGATGGGACATAATAGGACTAACCCATCATCATCAAGAATACCAGAGAGGCACACCTAGACTCAGGTCAGAATATGTGACACAGGAAATAGCCTCAAAGTTCATGCCATAGGAACAGGAAACTATTCCAAACAAAAGGCTTTCAGAGGGTATAAAAACCTACTCCACAAGTGCTCATCGCTCTTTCTTTTTTGTCTCCTCTCTGCTGCCAGAACCATCTTTCTGTCTGGCTCTTCAATAAATTGCAACCTTCTTTCTAAAGCAGTCGCCATGTTGTTTATTTATCCCCGGCTTGGATGAAGGATGAAGACTTTTCCTTCCATACATGCTTAAGAAGGACTAGACATCACAGCCTCCTGGTTCCTAGACCAGCACCTTAGCCAAACTGGCTGGTCCATCAAAGAGTGTGAAGATGTTTATGTAAGGCCCCTGAGGTTTAAAGAGTTTTTAAAGAGAAGGCTGCCTTAAAAGAACTGAGAAGCTAAGAGTTACTTTTCCATTACCAATTTGCCCTTTGGCACATCTTCATAGTGGATGCTGGTAATGTAGCTTTAACTTTGGTGATGCTGAAAGAGAACGGCAAGGCCAAGTTAGCTGAGGGTACTGGGTTAATTCATGGCTCAGTGACTTACTGCATACAAACAAAACTAAAACTCTGCCAAATCATTACAGGTAGTCCTTGACTTACAACAGTTCATTTAGTGACTATTCAAAGTTACAACAGCACTGAAAAAGTGACATGACCATTTCTCACGCTTACGACCACTGCAGCATCCCCAGGGTCATGTGATCAAAATTCAGATGCTTTGGTGACCTCCTGACAAGCAAAGTCAATGAGGAAGCCAGATTCACTTAACAACTAGGTCACTGATTTAACAACTGCAGTGATTCACTTCAAACAACTGTGGCAAATGGGGCAAAACTCATTTAACAAATGTTTCACTTAGCAACAGAAATGTTGGGCTCAGTTGTGGTTGTAAGTTGCAGACTATATTTAAGGCTGAAGTAGGAGCAAGATTGTTCTTGAAATCTACCCTGGGTGGGTTCCAGTAGAAAAACAGTCATGCATTCCTTCAATTCATTCAAAAAGGCATCTTACTTTTCCAGATTTGCTTACAAGTTTCATTGCAAAGCCGTGAGACAGCAAGCAGAACTCACAGCAAAAGATGACAAAGCACCAAGTACAACGCAGCACCAGGTGCACAGAGTAGATGAAGGTATCTGAATATTGAAAAAAAAAGTCAGGAGGTACCTGGTTAAATTTTAATATAAAGTTTTAGCCAAAAAAAGTGCTTTGTTGTTGTTAATTGCGAAGTCGTGTCCGACCCATCGCGACCCCATGGACAACGTTCCTCCAGGTCTTCCTGTCCTCTACCATCTTCTGGAGTCCATTTAATTCACACCTACTGCTTCAGTGACTCCATCCAGCCATCTCATTCTCTGTCGTCCCCTTCTTCTATTGCCCTCAATCTTTCCCAGCATTAGGCTCTTCTCCAGTGAGTCCTTCCTTCTCATTAGGTGGCCAAAGTATTTGAGTTTCAACTTCAGGATCTGGCCTTCTAAAGAGCAGTCGGGGTTGATCTCTTCTAGGACTGACCGGTTTGAACGCCTTGCAGTCCAAGGGACTCGCAGGAGTCTTCTCCAGCACCATAGTTCAAAGGCCTCAATTCTTTTGCGCTCAGCCTTTCTTATGGTCCAACTTTCACAGCCATACATTGCAACTGGGAAAACCATGGCCTGGACTATATGCACTTTTGTTGGCAGGGTGATGTCTCTGCTTTTTAGAATGCTGTCTAGATTTGCCATAGCTTTCCTCCCCAGGAGCAAGCGTCTTTTAATTTCTTGGCTGCAGTCGCCATCTGATGTGATCTTTGAGCCCAGAAAAATAAAATCTGTCACAAAAAAAAGTGCTACCGAGCTTACTTTTTTGATACCATAGACCAGGGATAGGCAACCTTGGCTCTTTTATGACTCGTGGACTTCAACTCCCAGAATTCCTGAGCCAGCATGAACTCCTGGCTCAGGAATTCTGGGAATTGAAGTCCACGAATCATAAAAGCCAAGGTTGCCTACCCCTGCCATAGACCAAGAAAGTATCTTCCTATGATACTGAAAAGTATTCATCTCACTTGCTTAATTTCTACAGTCAGCCTATGGCAACAAAATAATGCATAAGTACCCATTCCTAAAGGATGAAAAAGCATTTAGGAAAGTATCATTCACAGTTTATGAGACAAAAATAACATACTTTCATTGTTCATCTGAATTCTCTGTTCAGGATGTGGCTTATTCAACAGACATTAGAAAAACAAACTTACATTTCAGCTTAATGGATAATACTTACACCCATGGCAATTGAGTCTTGATCCCACTGACGTCAATGGTCATTGATTTTTGTTTGCTCAGAAGTGCACTTTATATATCAAATCTTTTTATTTGGAAAAAATGCGGACAGAGAATATCCAATTTAAACATTTTTTTTCATTAAATGTTTCTGAATAGAAAACAAATAAACTATAATAATAATAATAAAATAATAAAAATAATAATATAATAGAGTTGGAAGAGACCTTAGAGGTCTTCTAGTCCAACTCCCCTGCTCAGAACAAAAACAAAATGTACTCCTGCCACGTTTCCCCCTAGATGTATCTCTGCTTGTGGCAATCACAGAATTTTTAATCATGGGCTCTGCTCAAATCCATGTTGAACAGTCCTTCATGCATGGCATAACAGGATAAAATTGTTCACAGTGATTCCATAAAGTCATCTTCTCTTAATTAGAAGACCTCCCAACATGTGGACTTCTACTTCTATGCAAATTGGAAGGTTTGTAAGTCATAATTATTCTGTGACCAAAAAATAAAATAAAATGCAAGGCCAGAATAAAATCTGAGAAATGTATGTACGGGTATAAATAACCAGTGGTGGGATTCTGCTGGTTCGCACCAGTTTGGTAAAACTGGTAGCTAATTTTTTGTTGCCCAGGCCTAGAACAGACTTCCGGAAGCGGCATCCACACAGAGAACCGGTTGTTCACATATTTGAATCCCACCACTGGGTATAACCCATTATCTCACTGGAGCTATTTTGTAAATTCTTTGGAAGACTGTATGTTTCTATTGAGCTTGGAGGGATTGGTGTTAAGAACCTGCATTTGCGTTGGAAGTATTAGCTGAGTAGCTCAAGGCTAGAGCTTTGAAAAATCGTGTAGGGGATGGCCCACAGCACCTGAAATAAAAACAGCCTCATGAACAACAATTATGGAATGATTTGAAAACAGTTACAGTAAATATTGAGAACTTTGCTAACTGGTTTTTGTTCAGCAAATTTGTATTTAATTTTTTTTGTTAAATCTTCAGAAAAAACACAGATACTATTATAAATAAAGGTAAAAGAATGAAAATACTGTTGCAATCCAATTAATTCATTTTTGACCTATGGTATTAAATATTTCTGTTACAGTTTTGCCAGAGTGAATCCTGCTGTCCCTGCATGTATAAAGCTCCTTTCTACAAGGCTCCCAAATCGTTTGATCAATGCTTCCATCAATTGGAAGTATTTTTCAGCCTAAATTCTCAGTTCAGCTCAAGACTAGTTGACACGTTCTTTTCACGTCGCCATTTTGTGACGTCTTCTAATTTGACCACCAACTTCTTTCTACATTATGTTTAAAAATACAAGGGTAGCATTTCTAGGTGGCGGCTGCATTCACAGACATTTCTCAATCATATCATAGAGTAGATTAACTTTTTAACTGAGCCCTTCTTGTTTCTATGGCTGGGAACTTGAGGAATGAAAACAGATAATCATCATATTGCCCTGTGAACTAGTCTTAAGGAGGTTGCTTGAAAACTGTTAAGGTGACAGAAGTTTAAACATTTCAGAGTTAGATATTAGAGAATGTTTGAGAATAATCAGGATTCTAATAAAAGAATATTTGTAGCTCAGGGTTCTTCATGGTCTCTGAGCTTGGTTGTTTTCTTAGTTTGGGTAATGAAATGAAACAATGAAGTTCAGAGAATGCCAAGGACCTCTCAATCAGGATTCTGTTGGGCAAGGATGTGTAATAGGTTTGGTTGGCCTGCCATTCTAGTCATCCCCCGATATTTTTCATGCTGACTGGGCTGGAAGACAATAGAATTCAACAATTCCTGGGGATTCCACCTCCCCCCATCTTAAGTAAAGATGTACACCCTCAAACATTATTCTTTGATGACTTCCTTGTGTAGTGTTACTGCTGAAATGAGTTTTGTACTAGCAAGTAAAAGGGACTAATAACTTTACAATATAATATCCAAATGGAATTTTGTTCTTTGACTTGCAAACATTTAACTTACATTTTTATTTGCCTTACTGTGCAATTACCTTTTTTGCATTCTATTCCAATTTTATATGATATTTCATCATGATTGGTATTGTTTCTCTTTAATTTAAAACAGAGTTAAAACATGCCAGTGTTATGCCACTTCTGCTCATGGATGGATAAGGAAAGCTGGGCTCAGTTGCTTTCCCGTTTGAAGTTAATTTATCAAGAAATCTCCCTTCTTTGTAGTGTTTTTGTATTCTCTGAAAATGATCTCCATGTAATCAGCAATAACATAAAAATAATGTGTAAACTATAATGAATCGAAATACCATGATTTTATAGGGGGAGGATAACATACTACTAAACAATGCATATACTGTTTTGCATATGTTAATTTGGAGAATACATTTGCTTTTTTAGAAGTAGCCCATGTGCATTTTGTTGGATATGCACATAAAAACATGTGAACTGATAATTAGCAGTCATCTTCAGTTCTATTGAATAAAATCAGCTCCATCTTTGATGTTTGTCCACCTCCAATCCCACCCATCTGCTATAGGCACACAACGGTATTCCTAAAACAGTCTTTTGGCCTTCAAGTTGATTTGTCAGTCTATTAAAAGTACTGTAAGTTGTGGAAATAGGCTTTAACTTTAAAGGGTTTAACTGACTTTTTATTTTTTCATTACATCTTAAATGTCTCCATATATTGAGGGCTGCCTTGTGTACCATTTTGACAGACACAGACTACAAACCTAATCAACAAGCAAGGTTAAAAATCCCTGAAAAACTGAAAAATTCTTTTAACGATTTACAGGCATTAATGGCATGTTTTGGCAAATTTTGATTTGTAGCATTGTTTGGTTTCGAAAGATACCCTGAACTTCAAAGTAAGTCACTAATGCAGGGATGAATTATGCTTTGAGCTTCACTCCTCATAATAAAGCTGGATATAGACAAGAGACTGTAAGAGGTATTGGCCAAATCATTGTAGAGTCCAAGATTGCCTATTCTGGCCTTAATGGATAGTGTCCCTCAATTTATGACAAAAGGAAATGGACACCCTTTGGGGGCAAATATAATTCTAAGTAAAACTGTGTAGGGTTATGGCCATTATTTTTACATTTTTAGTAGAAACGCCCGTGGGTATCTTTCAACATATATAATAATCTTGGAGACTTTTAACAAAATTCCTTGGCATGATGCAATCCCTGGCTACTTCAAGGTCCAATTTCATTTGGTCAGTTTGGCATTAGCATTGTTACATCAAACAAAGTTTGTAAATTTATCCATTGAAGTTTTTAAAAAATGACAAAAACTGTGCTGAATTGCATTTTCATTAATTACTGGAACTCATGCCCACGAATGAATGCAAATCAAACCTGCAAACAAACGAAAATGAACAAACAAACAAAAACCTCCAGCAGATATTGACCATGTAATCCTTGGCTGGGCAAATGAAAACAGGCCACACTTAAATTATAAGACTTTCAGTAGCCATCAGAAAGTTAAGTACTGTATGCTAGAACTTAAGGCCTTTATCTGCAAACAAACGGAAGTATATTAATAGTATTTACAAATACTAAAACTAACAGTATTTTGTTCACAGTGCCATTGCTTATACAGGTAGCTTTCCCATGATATTTGTATTTTGCGGATATAAACAGGCCACAGATACAGCCATCAAAAGAGATATCTGAGAACATTTAAACTGTACAACTCTTCCCTTTTGATTTGAGAGGAAATATTGTTCTTGCGGTGAGAATGTCAGTCTTTTATCTAAAGTGGCTTAAAATGATCAATGGGTACCACTATGAAAAAAAAATATTGGGTACACAGAATAACCTTACTTCAAGGTTCTTTAAATGCCTTTTCCAGTGCATCAAATACAAAAATTATAAAAGACATTAGTCAGTTAAAACTTCTCTCTGTGTGGCCAAAGGTCTTCTGAGTTCAGATGATGCTGGTGATGAGTTTTAATGTGCAGCCCAGCTGCCAAATGACTGTACATTATTCCAAGCCTTTGTTCAACACCTGTCTTAATATCACCCAAAGTTAATACAACTGATAACCCAAAATGCACTAGTCTTTCCTGTGTCCTCCATTACTCCTATTTGTTGGTTCCTGCTTATCAGTCCAGCTTCATTTTCTTACTCAAGCTTGAGATCAGAGGTGACGAATGGCTTCAGATATTAAGATGAAGAAGGGAGATTTGGTAGCACTTCAGAATAGAAACCTACAAATAATGTAAGTTTTCCATTAGGAGGTTACTTCAGGTTCAATTTTCCTCCAGCTTTCTTAATTTTCTGTCTTGTTAATGATGGGCCAATAGACCTGTGGGGTTTTGTCGTTGTACCACCTCTATGGAGTTTCTCCTTCATTAAAAGTCTGCTCTTCATTTTCAGTAATTTGAAGTGAGTGGTCAATGGTGATGCCATGTTGCCTAGGAAGCAATCTCTTCCACTTGGTCTTGTTTCTTCTCAGATGGTTTAGCATGTTTTCAGATAAATGAGTGTTCCCAGTAAAATTGGCCCATTCTTCAAAAAGTGGCTCCACGATATAGGTCATGAAGCCTGGAGAAAAACGTAAGGCAAGTTACATCAGCAGTTTAGTTGATCACTAAATACTCTTTTCTGCTAAGCCAACATTCTACTCTGAAAAAGGAATCTAGCACAGCTTCAAGATCGCATTCTTTGAGTATACTTAATTAATATAAAATTAATTAATATTAATTTTATTTAAATTACTATAAAATTATTTTGCTTTTCTTTTATGAATAACAATTTTTTGCCTTCGCATTGTTCTAGGCCTGCTGGAATATAATGCTATTTGATTTGATCTGATGGTATAGCATCTGGTTATTTGAGGGACCGACTATCTCCCATAAGCAATGGAACATTAACCATTATCCAATGGAACAGCTTGCCTTCAGAAGTTGTGAGTGCTTCATCACTGGAGGTTTTTAAGAAGAGATTGGACAACCTCTTGTCCAAAATGGTATAGGGTCTCCTGCTTGAGCAGGGGGCTGGACTAGAAGACCACCAAGGTCCCTTCCATCTCTATTCTGATTGAACATCTGCCTGGCCAATTTGATCCTGCAGGGTTGGGGCACTCTGAGTTCCTTCGATTAAACAATGTCATCTTTCAGGACCTCAAAAATGCTCCTTTTCAGATGTGTCTACCCTCTGAAATAAAGTTCCCCCAAGATCTGGAGGGCCACCAGTCTACTATTGTTTAGAAGACCCACAAAGGTCTGGCTCTTCACCTAGGGGGCCTTCAATGAATGAGAATAGGACACCTGTTTCCTTGTGCTTGCTATTCTTTATTTTTTATTTTTTGAGTTCATTGTAATTTGATTATTGTAAGCTGCCCAGAGCCATTGAGAGACATTATTATTATAGTTTGATGTACAGTCAACCAGATGTTTAGGCTGGAAATAGCATTTTATTATTATTATTCACTATCACTCTTGTCAAAAGAGCTTATTTACTAATTCAGGAAGTCTTATGGCTACTTTACACCTAATTAAAATAATACTAAATGTAAAGATGGGAGACTACAGAAATACCCATAATGGAGAAATGATCATGAAGATGGCAAAGCTTGAAGAAATGGCTAAAATGTTCAGAGAGAACAATAACTACTTTTTAAAAGACTGGAAACTTTTCTAGGCTTTTTATGAAAATGGACAAAAATAAATTGGTAATTTGGTGATTTATTAAAAAGGCTTGTTTATGGGAATAAAAGGACCGCAATATGTAATTTGGGAGAACAGAGGTGGTAATTACTACATAACTGCTGCAGAGAAAATTGGTAGTTGTTTATTTTATGTATCTTTCTCTTTTGTTATTTTTCATTTTTTTAATATTTTCAAAACGCCCTTTTCTCCTTTTCCTTTTATGTTTCCGAGTTTTTTTAATCTTATGTAAAATCTTCTTTTAATAAAAGTTATATTAAAAACCTCTAATTGCATTTTTGGGATGATTACTATTATGTGTAGTGAGATGTATCTAAGACAGGGGTAGGCAATCTTGGCTCTTTTATGACTTGTGGACTTCAACTCCATGCTGGCTTAGGAATTCTGGGAGTTGAAGTCCACGGGTCATAAAAGAGCCAAGGTTGCCTATCCCTGATCAAAGACCAGACCCTGGCACACACTTCCATAGCTGGCTGAGAAGGGTTCCACATAGATTTTTTAAAAAAAAGGTGAAAGAGAGTTTGGGGGGGGGTCCTTTGCCTGCAAGATCATTGCTGCTATTTAAGTTGCCACTGGCCAAAATTCCTGTGGACACAACTGGGTTACTAACTTAACAACTGCAGTGATTCACATAACAACTGTGGCCAGAAAGGTTGTAAACTGGAGCAAAACTCACAAGCAGTTTAGCTTTGTATCCCAAAGGATTATGAAACTTATTTTATTTGACTGCCAAGCAGTTTTTCCTGGAGTAGAAAAATTATGGTACCTAGTAGAAGGCCAGGCTAATGATACATGATATACTTACCAATTTGTATACTAGGTATTGTGTCTTTCTTCTGATTACAAAGAGGACTTATTTCCAAGTCAAATTTCTGCTCCAGATCACCTATCAGAAAGGATGATTAATTTTTGACACCATAAATGTTTTTGTGTGTACAGCACATGTCTGTTACCAAATCATGCAAGGCTAAGAAAAGACCTAGCTAAGAGAAAACCTAGCTCCTGCTAGGTCTTTTTTGAGATTTGATGAAAGCCCACTTGGGATAGCCACACGTTCTGAGAGCTTCCTTTATGTGTTTTATTTCTTTTCTTTCTTTGCTGGTGGGCAGGCCTTTGACTCTGTGATGTAGGGTTCTGATAACTCCCATTTTGTGCTCCAGTGGGTGGTGTGAATCAAAACATTGATCTTTGTGTGTGGGTTTTCCATAAATTTGGAGTGGAATGGTGAGGGGAAGGCAAAATGTTGAGAGTTCTACATGTAGGCCAAATCAGGCTCTTAACCCATTGTGGGGAATTCTGGTCATTGAAGTCCACAGTCTTAAAGTTGCCAAGTTTGGAGAACCCTCATCCTTATTCATCATCTTATGTTATTATTAAAAAGACTAGTGAACACTACTGTTCAAGGTTAATCAAGGCAATTAAATGGCTATGGTTGTATCAATCTCTTTCTTTTTTTTTAAAGGCATTTATTTAATGTCTTTAATTGCATTTTCCCTGGGTATTTTTTTTAGCAACTTCAAATAAGATGACTAGTCACTGCCACTTCATATTAAAATTATGATTCAGAAACACAGAGCCAAGGTTAAAATATATCAGATTGCTGACCTTGCCTGTAGAATTCCTCACAAACTCGCTCACTCCACTGTTTGCTCAGCTCCCAGAGCCGGCAAGGATTGCAAATGTCTGCGCACTTAAGTGCAATCTGCAAATAAAAGACATCCATGATGCCGTAAGACATATAATACTTGGTGGTCTTCAAAATTTATTGGGCATTGCAAGGTTTATGTTGTACCTCAAAAGACAGTCAGAGGAGGAATTATTCCATAATATCAAACAATCAAAATGAAAAAGACTAATAAAAATTAAAGCATAAAATCAATAGATACTGAAGTATCATCTATTTACAGTTATAATTATAACACTGTAAACCTGTACACTTGATAAATGCAAATATACCCTGATGTTGCATAACATTCTACATACTAATAGCAAATCAACTTTTTTAACATAGCTTGAGGAAACTGCACATTCTGTATATTATTAAGAAATAAGATCAGGTAGAAGAAGGGATCCAAAAAACCCAGCTTAATCGGATTTGAGTATTCTTTAGGGGCATAACTCCAATTACCAGTTGCAAGGGGAGGAAATGAAATGACACCCTGGAACAAGGTATTGTCTGGATGCTGGATTTTTGCTGCAGAGATACCTTAGCACTAATATAAATCATTTTGGAATATTTTATTTAGTTATATGCAACTATTATCAAATCAATTAACATCAATTAACAATGGTTGAGGCCGCCATAAGGGCAAGAATCAAAACTCTGTATTTTTCTTGACATCTGAAATAGTAAAAGAGGAAGTAAAGAAGATCAAATCAGTTAATTTTGTTTATTCCACTGAATTTCAATTAATTTACTAATAATTCTTTCAACAGCAAAGTTTGTGAAAGAGACTTGGTTAAGAGAGGAGGGCTGACCTAAAGACATCCTGTGAACTTCTCTGGCCAAGAGTTTTGCGAGACCGCCTGCTACCTCATAGTTCCCTATGTCCGGTTAGATCCCACAGGCTGGGCCTCCTTCAGGCCCCATCGGCCAAGCAGTGCCATTTGGCGGGGCCGCGGAGGAGGGCCTTCTCTGTGATGGCGCCCACGCTTTAGAACCAGCTCCCCCCGGAGACTAGGACCGCTCCCACCCTGTTGGTCTTCTGTAAGCTACTTAAGACCTGGCTTTTCCGGCAGGCCTGGGGTTTATAAAACCTGACCCCTGGATGACTGTCTTTGCATTGTTTGTTTTGTTATGTTTTATGTGTTTTTTATTGTTAGCCGCCCAGAGTCCTTCGGGAGTGGGGCGGCTTATAAATTTTAAAAAGAAAAAGAAAAAGAGTTGACAGGACAGGATTGGCCTCATGGATGAGGAGAGGGACCAATGCTTCCTTGCAGGAGAGATAGCAATAGCAACAGCACTTAGACTTATATACCACTCCATAGTGCTTTACAGCACGCTCTAAGAGTGGTATATAAATGTCAACATATTGCCTGGAACAATCTGGGTCCTCATGTTACCAACCTCAGAAGGAGGCTGAATCAACCTTGACCCTGTCAGGGTGGAACTCCAGACTGTGGGCACAGTTAGCCTGCAATACTGCACTCTAACCACTGCACACCAGGGTTCCTCAACAAATGGGAAGCAAACAGTGATCTGTAACACCTACTCTCTCAGCATTTAGGAAACGTGCAGTAAAGAAGCATCTCTATGCCAGAGTTGTAATAATTGTTTATGTATTGATTAACATATTGATCTTAATTTATGTTTTTAGCTTTTAATATTGTGTTTGTGTGATTTTTTTTCTTCGTTAACTATTCTGGATACTCTCATGAAAATGTGATTACACTACAACTATATGAAATACTATCTTGACCAAATGAATGGCATAGGATGGAAAACCTCAATAGGAACTTGGTTAGATTACTCAAAGGCTGCAGTAAAACCTTCACGGGCTCCAGTAATACTATATCTATTGAACAATGGTCTATTCTCTCCCCTCCCCTGCAAAAAAACTCCAAACCAAGATGATAGGCACATTATGGGGTTTGTTTGTTTTTTTAAAAAAAACCCTCATATGGATGTTTTATGAGGATTATGGGTGATTTCAGGGAGTACTTTATGACTATTGTTCTCTCAACATTAGTAAATCTATTAAGAAGACTACAAATTGACTTTGTATTTGAAAGAACAATTAAATGAGTATGTGTTTTTTAAGTTGACATCTATCTGGAAATAGAAGACATCTTCTAGTTGTGCGTCTTTGGTTTAGCACTCTATACAAACTAAATGTTGGAGATAATCCTAAGAATGGTTGATGGGATCTGATCCTGAAGACCTTTCAAGTCCAGATTTGGCTGTATTACTGCCAACCAAGCCAGACGTAGCCGCTACCCTAACTGAATTAACATTTTCAAAATATTGGAAATGAGTTGGCATCTTTTGCTACCAAAATGAGAGGAAATGGTTCCTGTTAAAGGAAAAATAGATAGGATTGCCAGCTTTTGTAAAATAGCACATTGCTATCCCAAAACATTTTGCTTGAGGCAAAACATCAAATCCCTTGCCTACTGGCCTGGTTGCCTGGTGCTTAAGATCAACCAAGGTATGATGGAATGCAAGGGAAAAAATACTGCATTTCTCTCCCTGAAATAAAGGCACCACAAAAATAAATTAAACTACTAATGATGTCTGGTCTTTTCATAACATCCCCAAATAGCTATCTGAGAGGATTCTGCCAACTGTTAGAGATGCTGAGCAAACATTTCACAAACAAGATGCTTCCCTACTTGAAGTAACCGAGTTGTAAATTTTAACACAACAGAGTTTTGAGAATTTACAAACCCAAATCCCATAATTATACCAAAATTGAGATAGCCTAACTTCAATGAGGTCTACTATAGTAACAGTATTATTGCAACATATTATATTTAGGGTGTTATTGAAAATGATCTAAAAAAGAAAAAAAATTATTTTAAAGCTACTTTTAGATTAGTGGTTCTCAACCTGTGGGTTGGGACCCCATTTGGGGGTTGCCAAACAACACAGTCCGCCATTTTTTCTCCCCTTTTACTTAGCTGTGCTACTCCCTTTTATTCTATTGGCTTTTGAAAGCCAATAGAATAGACTCTCTTGAATTTTTTTTCTCTCTCTCTTTTTTCAAAAGCCAATAGGAATTGTCCAGGCTGTCTCTGCCCTGCTGAGCCCGCCAAAAGTCCCATTCTGCAAATGGTGCTGCACCAGTTGAGTAGTCCTCGACTTACGACTGGTTGAGTAGTCCTCGACTTACGACCGATTGGGGGTCACGGCATTAAAAAGGTTGAGAACCACTGTTTTAGATAGTCCAGGTGTTCAGAAGGGCAGGCAATCAAAACTGTACAATGGTGGTCCTAAAATAACTGCATACATAATTGTTACATGTTGACCTCAATCTATGCCACATGATCAGCTGGGGAAGGCTCTGCTCATGATCCCACAGGTTGCCTCAGGTCACAAAACAGTGGCCAGAGGTTGGCCTTCTCAGTGGTAGCAACCCAATAATACAATTGTCTAACTTGAAGTCAGGAAGGGATTCTTGAGGGAAGGAACCCTTCTTGAAGGAGAGCTGTTTGCCGGTCACTTGGTCTTCTTTTTAGCCAACTAAAGACACACCTGCCACTTCCAGGATAATAATGATTTCTGGACTAAAAGATTCAGAATAACTTTTAGACTGCCTGTCATGTTATTGTTCTGTTTTCAAACGAACTAAGTTTTAATGTGTTTTAATATATTATATTAAGGTCTGTTAATTTTTACTGTGATGGTTTTATCTCAGCACAGTTTTTAATTAATCCCTTGTAAATTGCATCGGCCCCTCCAGAGGAAAAGGGATATGCTGAAGAAATAATTATGCTTGCAGCGATGCCATATTTCTCAGACGTTTTCTTCTGCTTTGTTTCATTTTGCCAGCTCAAATTGTGGGCTCAGTTCCTCTCCTTTCTCTAAAATATGCTTTCATGCAGAGAGGATTAGCTTCAGTAATGGGCTACGTAAATAACAGAATAAATATGAATGAACTATGAATTCATTATCAATACCAATGATAACTGGTATACTGTTTTGCCCCTTAAGTAATAAGAATGTTAAGGATACAAGGAACAAGGCAATGCCAAAACAAAACTAAATAAATTAATTGTTGCATTAAAAACATCCACATAGCCAAGTAGATTTTCTCCATACAGCTCCTAATAATTTATGGAAGGGCAGAGATAGTCAATAGAATACTTGGTTTTCCCAGCTCTTCCTAGTGTAAATTTGTTACTGGAAAATGTTACTGCATCAAGGAACTTTCAAAGGTCATGTGTCAAATGAATAAGAAAGTTTTTGAAATAAAATGACACCCAGTTTGAATATTTAATGTAATTTGTATACTAAGCAGCAATAGCACTTAGACTTATATACCGCTTCATAGTGGGTCCCAACTTTTAGTACATCCTGTATACAAAATTCCTATCAATAAACAAACAGAAATCACTCCATTGGTTGCCATGAAAAGGAGTAACTCACTCATTGTAAACTCACCACTGAGAGTACTTGGATTTTAGATTTTTCTGCCTATAAACGTGAAATACTCAGGGTGCTGAGCGCATATCCAGGATGGTATTGATAATAAAATATATGCATGTAACTTCTCCCAAGAGTGGACAAAGATTCACATGTAGACAAAATGCAAATCAGAACAACTTTTCATTCCTTTCTTTCTCACATTAGTCCTTAAGTTTTAGAGATAGAGTGGTAAGAGTCTTTTAAGAGTGCTTTAATTTCATTTTCATGTTACAAGAAGTTCTTGCTTATCAACTGCCTCATTTAGCAACCCTTTGAAGTTACAACAGACTTGAAAAAGTAACCTTATTACTGGTCCTCACACTTAAGACCTTTGCAGCAAACCCGTAGTCCAGGGGTCCCCTGTGGGGAAAAATGCACGCGCAGCAAACTGCCATGCTTTCCCCCCCATAAAACCTCATAACCTTTTGATACCCTTTGTCCCAATGAAGCAGCCAGAAGGTCATCCCCTTTTGACTTAATGCCTCACCTACCTAAATAGATAATATGCTTAAGTTACTTCCTATCTCTTGCTGCCTTTGTCAGTTCTTTCTCCTTTTGATCTACTGTATTTGTTCTTACCTGGTCTTTGATCAGGTAATATGTTACTAGACAATAGTTGCTTATATGAAGGAATTTTCCAATGAAGAAACTTTATGTCAGCATCTAATAGTTAAACTTATGAATGTAAAATGTCAGCATTTAATGGTAAAGCCTATGTATATAAAAATATATATAAAAACCAATAAACACACAGAGACTCTCAAGCTGTCTCAAGCTGTGACAAGCAGCTCTGCAGCAGCTTCAAATCTCTGCTCAAGACATGCCTGAGTCTTTTTCTTAGTGTCTTACAGTCCCCAACCCCCAGTCCTTGGACCAATACCTGGGCTGCACAAACAAGCAAGGGCCCATCCGCGGGATGCAGGCAGCACACAAAACCATGCACCCTCCGGTCTGTGGAAAAACCTCTCTCCACGGAACCGGTCTCTGGTGCCCAAAAGATTGGGGACCTCTGCTGTAGTCAACATGATTGAGAATCAGCAGGTTGACATTTATGACTGTTGCAGTGTCCTGTAATCATATGACAACTCTTTGCATGTTTCACAGCTAGTTTCTGATAAGCAGAGCCAATGGAAAAGTCAGTAGTAAAATTGCATATTGTGACCATGTGATGTCTCGCTTAATGACTGTGGATGATTTGCTTAATGAACTTAGCGGGATTGAGTTCATAAGCCCACTGTGTTCCTGTGTTGTCTTGCTTAATGACCATGTCACTTAGCAATGGAGTTGTTTGTCCCAATCATGGCCATTAAACAAGGACTACCTGCACAGTGAGAATAAAGTACCGGTTATCTGAAATATTCAAGTAGCTGGGGGAGGCCATGCCCTGTCTAATTCAGAGCCTCGGGGGTCTCTCCTGTCCAGTTAACCATGATGGAATGTATGTATAGCACATGTTGACAAGTCTTCTTTATTCGCTTTCCTTATTCAATCTGCTGCGATCATATGATGTGAAAGGCAGCTGAGATTAGATATATCAAGTGTATCAAAACCATGAAGAAAGTAGGCAGGGAGAATTTTTTTCTTTCATCTTCAAAAAAGTAAGACCAGGGATCAGCCTGGGGCAAGGCTTTAGAGTATAAGAATGCATTTCCTTATACATCATTAACCTGCAGAATTCATAACCACAACTGCAGTAAATCTGGATGGCAACTAGAGATTTGGGTAACATTTAGATGAGATTGGGGTAACATTTAGATAAATTTATGGAGAGTGGTTCTCTTAAGAGCTATACATCTTAAAACGCTAATGTTGCTCCACGATTGAGAACATCTTGAACCAAATTACCAGGTGGAGGGGAGCAATGTTGGAAGAAGGATTTATCTCCATTTTTTACATTTGAACACCCTAGGGTCATTTTCTTGTCACCGTATAAAACAAATGCTTGGCTTGACCAAGAGAGCCTTCATATATTTTTGTTCTATTTTCACCTAATAGCATCATGTGTAAATTGGATGAAAATGGACAATTCAATGAATGTTACAAAATAATCCCAGCACAGAAACCTGGTCCCCTCTGCGTTGGGCCACCAGAGAAAATATCTATTTTTAAACAGAAAGATCAGAAAATGTTCAACATTCACCTGAAGTATAAAATGCCTGTCTGAAGCATCCTCTAATTTCAAGTCCTGGTTTTTTAGATGAGCTTTCAGCTGGATCAAAAATTCATTCTGCCTGTTGATATCTGTTGCCAAGATCAGGGAACCAAGCTGTTGTTCAATGTCATAACTACAGTACAATACAAAATAAAAGAAACTATTAGGTCAATTTCCCATCTTGTGTTGTTACTATAATATCTTCTCTTATTAAGTGGCCACCGGGGTGGTCAATGGGAGGAACAACACCATCAAAATAGTGGGCATAATTGGAGTGATCAGAGTCTTGCCTAGTCTTGCATATGTATGATGCATAAGACACATTTAAAAGAGGTGGGGCTTCAACTGCTAACCGTGCCTACCATTTTGATGCCATTAACACTTCTTGTGGACATCCCTAAGGAGCTTCATTTCATCTGGGATTTATGATTAGGGCTGTGCAATGCTTTGGAATTGAAAAGGATGCTTCAGAAAGTGAATGTAGCACCTTCCCTGTGGCTCATTAAAACAGCTACATCTTTTTTTTTCACAATCACACATTTCTCACAGCACTGGTGTAAATCTCACCAGAGTCCTCCTACAGTTTTTTCCAGTTTGAAGGAGGCAGGAAACACTCTGGAGTGATGCTGAACAGTTTTCCACACATGTGCCTTAACTATGTGTTGACAGTCCATGAGAATTCACAATTATTGCTGCACAGAGATTTTGAATGTGGAGAAGGAAAATGTTTAAGATTGGTATAGGGACTGCCTTAGAACAACTGAGTAATGCTAGTCAAATTGGGCAATTTCCAAGTTTTAATTTATTTATTTTTCCAGATAAATGTGATTGGGAAGCATTCATGTACACATACACAAATGTGCATGCATCAACATATATACCACATTCACACAGATCACACAGGGATTACAAACTGTACTGTATATACAAATGTAGATCTTTTGGAAAATAGAATACTTGGTTTTTAGAATCTAGTGTTTTTATAGCTCTCTACGCCAAATGAATAGGTAGGTAGATAAATAGCACTTACACTTGTATACAGCTTCATACTACTTTACAGCCCTGTCTAAGTTGTTTACAAAGTCAGCATATTGCCCAACAATCTGGGTCCTCATTTTACTGAGCTTGGAAGGATGGAAGGCTGAGTTAACCTTGAGCCAGTAAGAATCAAACTCCTGGGAGTGAGCAGTGAGTCAATCCGCAATACTGTATTCTAACCACTGCACCACCATGGCTCTAGATAGATCAGTGGTTCTCAACCTGTGGGTCGGGACCCCATTTGGGGTCGAACGACCATTTCAGGGAGTTGCCAAACAAGGCTGTCCACCATTTTTCCCCCTTTTCTTTGGCCATGCCCCTGGCACCCGGTGATGTATAAGTGGTTGGGGGTCACCACAACATGGGGAACTGTATTATGGGGTCGCGGCATTAGAAAGGTTGAGAACCACTGAGATAGATGGACTCCCAAATCAGGCCAGGCAAAATCCAAACAAACTCAACACTCATTTGCCCACCTATTCATCCTATATAGCACATTGTAAAAACATTGTATTCAAAAAAGTTCTGGGAATCCACATGAGATCAGCCCATTTCCCAGATTACAATGCTCACCTCTCTTCTTTCGGCAGATGTGCAAGGAGCCTTGATTCTCGAAGCATGCCTATTGTAGATCTCCAGTGATGGTTTTCTAATACAGAAACATTCTGGAAAAGGGAGGGGAAAAATTAAAAAGGACACCACACTGAAATGGATGGGACTTTTAATAAAAAGAAGAGGTGTATTTTAAAAAGGACAAAGTATGAACTTCATCTGGTGTTGAGTAAGGCAGTGAGGTTGTCCGACAGCAGTCTTGCCTTTATTCACAGAGCAATAACATTTTCTCTGTCCTTTTTCTTTACTTCTTCCTATAAGCCCTGACATTTCAAAGACTTTGCAGCCAGGCCTTAGATCATCCCAACTGTATGCCTAGCATTTGGCTGTGCTTTGTTGAAACTGATAGAGAAAGATGAGCTTGTCACAAGATAATCTCAGCATCGTTCTGTACTGTCCTTGGTACTTGTGGCCCTGTCTGTTTCTTTATCTTTGGGTACAAGGACAGTCTAAATTGTTGGATAGCTGACATCTCAGAGAAGGAAAGGAAAAACAAGGGGGACGGAGGGGCCTCAAGCTTTTAAAAAAGGGTAAGCAGCTCTTCTTCTCCCGTTTCTGTAATGAGCTAATTATAAAACTGGGATTCTGTTATTCACACCTATTGACTGAGTTTCTTGGATGTATTTTACAACTGAAAGGCAAGTAAATTCCATCAGTGTCATATGCCGGGAGAGCTGGAGGGCCAGGGGACAAATTCCAATCCCAACCATGGAGATCCCTCAGTAAGCTTACCAGACATTATCTCATAGTCCGAGCCTACTTCATGAATTGTTGTGAAGACAAACCTGTATTTATGGGGCAGGAAGGAGAATTGTTTGGAGAAAATATTGTCTAGGAATTCAATAAGTAAATGTATTACTAAATGGTGGACAATAGAGATTTAGGTCCGGCAAGGTTCTATGCCAGCCAGATAACATGTGTTGGATTACCTCTCTCATAATTTCTATTTAGAATCCAGAGGCCATTTGGGTGGAGAACTGTTAAAAAACTATTAAATCATACATAATGGCCTGTGCTAGTATAATTCTGTAGCCAAGGTTAGAAACTTATAAAGCTAATACTACTTACTTAATGCAACCTCTGACACCGTTTATTAAAGACTTATCTTACGTTCAACTGCAACATTTTGCAGAATTTATGTAATCCTTGGCATTATTTTTCTTCCAGATTTTAGGCTATTAAATGTATGTTTGTTCCAATATATATTTGAAATTGGTGCTTCGTGTCTGCCTCTAAATTTAATTTTTGAATATTTTGAACGGGAAGTCTCAGCTTGAAACTCAAAATTAACTATGACATTAAGCAATTTTGTGTCATTTTTTCTTAGTTCACAGTACATAGCAAAGGGAGTATCTATGTATGGTGCTGGAATTCTTCAAGCCTATCTTTACAGCTATTAACTTTTTTTTTGCAAGGCACAATCTTCCCTCTTGTCATATTCTGCACTTTTTTTCTACATCACTGTAGGATTATAAAGCTGCTGTTTCATCTCATAAGAATAGGAATAAAAGTAGAATTTTGGAATGTTCTGTTCGCTACAAATACCGTCCATATATATGGAGAGTAAATGAGTTATGTGAATGATTTCTGCAGGCATGGATGACCGCTTCCCACATTTCTTGGTTTACATCTTGAAAATAGCTCTGGAATAATTGAAAGGTTGAGGTGGCCATGGTAAAAAGAAGTGACCACAACCTTTAATATTGCACGGTCATAACAAAAGTGATTTAAAAAAACAACAACAAAAAAGCATTTACTACATGCCAAGAGTTATTCTCACCTGATATAAACTGGCAAGATGGTGTTTTGTTTTTATCAAAAATGGCTGGTTGACTCCTGGATGATCTACATCATGTGCTGCAGCAGCCAGTAATCCAAGCATAACATCCAGAGGGGTGAGAAAGTTAGCAAGCTGGAGCATGTAAAAAGGGGTTCAGAGTTAAAATTGTATTTTTACAAATTACACTTACAATACATCGTAATCTCATGCACTGTATTAAACTTTATTCAAGTATTGTTGAATAACATGCTGAATCTAGTTCACACACAGTATTAACTCATTAATGTTGGTTGTTACATTACAGGTTCCCTCATCACACTAAGCTATGGCTTGTTTCTATTCTAGTTGGCCATAATTTATAAAGCACAATAGCTGAATTCACATATCACGTTAATCCAAAAACCAAGCAATAATTATGGCCCTTTGCAAACCCATTTTTTAGCAGACCCAGGAAACAATAATGTTTTCCACTTTATACCATCACTCCTTATTATTCAATTTTAGCAATATCAAATTATTAGAAGAAAATAAGCGAGCTGCCATTTTTCAAAGCAACTATTAAATAGGGATATGAAAGTCAATATATATATTTTTGGAAAGTCTGGTGGAGAGATGAATAATACCAGTATAATTTTAGCAGGAACTTTGATGCCGCAATTGACACAAACATAATGGTGCACAAAATGAGTGAACAATTAAAGAACCCTGAAGAGCCCATCGGAAAGATCTGGAGGCAGCCACATTATACATGATGCTTCAATCATATAGTCACATTTATCTTCCTGAGTTTTTTCCTATCTGTTGTGTCCTGAGCCTGCAAAAGCAGGCTCGGGACGTTGCATTGGTCCCGGGCATTCCAAAAGCTGCAGTTTGCAGAGGAGCGAGTGGTGAAGGTCGTAAGAGTATGATGGCGAAGATTGGCCGTTTGTCTGATTTTGATGTCTCACACCCAGAGAGATGGAATTCCTATGTAGCAAGGGTGGAGAATTATTTCAGAGTAAATCAGATTAGAGAAGATGGCTTGAAGACTGCAACTCTTTTGTGTGTCTGTGGACAGGAAGCTTTTGAAATCGCAGAGAATCTGGTGGCCCCTGCACCTCTGGAGTCAGTAACATATACTGACTTGAAGAAACTGTTGAAGGAACATTTCCAGCCAAAGTTATCTGTTATTGCTTGGAGGCACGCGTTCGAGCAGAGAGACCAGAGGCCTTGTGAATCTGCTGTGGATTTTATTGCAGCCTTAAGGCGAGCAGCCAGACCTTATGAGTTCAAGGATCTGGAAGAGAGGCTGCGAGATCACTTTGTATGCGATTTAAGGAACAGAGACTTAGAAGATTTTTGCAAAAGAAGATGTCTCTTTCCAAGACGCGCTACAAGAGGTGACAGCTGAGGAAGCAGCAGGTGGGGCTATGAAGGCCTTACGGCTCACCAAGAACCCTCCAGACACAGCTACCATCCATCAAGAGGACGCTCAAGAAGGATCAGAAGTGGATCCTGAAGAGGAGTTCGATAGAATTCACCAGCCAGCTGAGAGGAGGCAGAAGGGACATCTGGTCAAAGCCCCAGCATCTCTTCAATGCTTCGGGTGAGGAGGACGCCATAAGCGAGCTGACTGCAGGTTTTGCTCAGCCATTTGCAGGGTGTGTGGCAGGCAGGACCACATTGCATCCATCTGTTTGGGTCACCAGAAGGTTCAACCTCAGGAAGAATTGCTTCAGAAGGGGCTCCAGCCAAAACAGGGTGGGTTTCTGCGCATCGCGCAGGAGTATTCTACAAACAGGGTCACACAAGCCCCTTAAGAAGAAACTTTCCATTAACGTAAGGTTGCAAGGGGCTCCCCTATCAATGGAGTTGGACACTGGGTCCGCTCTCTCAATTATTTCAATTAACACATTCAAAAGGATATGCAACAGCAGTGGCCTTTGAGTTAAACTCAGGCCATCAAATCTAATACTTACTGATTTTCAGAATTCTGTGGTGTGTGTTAAGGGGGAGGCCACCCTTAGAGTACAGCATAAGGATTTTGAAGGTTCCCTAGATGTGGTGGATGTTGGGGGTGAACGTACGAGTCTTATTGGACTCGATTGGTTTGAGGCTCTGGGAATCCAGGTAACTGGGCTGCACCATTTGCAAACATTGAGTCTTGCAGAAGTCTTCAAGGAGTTTGCAGATGTGTTTAGTTCAGAGCTAGGATCCTACAAGGGGCCTCCAATTTCTCCATGGTTAGACCCAACCATCACGCCCATTAGGGTTAAGCCTCAAGGGCAAGATTGATGCTGAGCTGGACAAATTGCTCCAGCAGGGCATTCTAGAACCTGTGGATTCTAGTCCATGGGAAACCCCCATAGTAACACCTCTAAAGGCTAATGGGGACATATGTATACGTGCAGACTATAAGTGCACACTGAATAAGGCGCTGCAACAGCACGTTTATCCAGTGCCAGTAGTAAGTCACATTCTGGCCTCCCTCAAGGGGGGGCACATTTTTGCGAAGCTTGACTTGGCACAGGCCTATCAACAGCTACCTGTTGATGAGGCAGCTGCAGAGGCCCAGACTATTGTAACTCACAGGGGGGACTTCAAGGTCAAGAGACAACAATTTGGGGTAAATGTAGCCCCTGGCATATTCCAAATGTCATGGAGAGCACACTTCGAGGTATTCTTGGGGTCTGTCCCTATTTCGATGACGTCCTCATTGCTGGGGAGTCATCCCAAAATTTAGCAGAAAGACTAAGGGCTGTCTTGCTTTGTTTTCAAAAAGCAGGCCTTAAACTAAAGAACGATAAATGTAAGATAGGAGTCACTTCTACTGACTTCTTAGGATTCAGGGTTGATGCTCAAGGCATTCACCCTGATGAAACTAAATTGCAAGCTATTCAGCAGGCCCCAAGCCCTAAGTCTAAGAGTGAGCTGCAAGCCTTCGTGGGGCTATTAAATTTTTACCATGCATTTCTCCCACATAAAGCTGAAGTAACAGAACCATTACGCAGGCTCTTAGACAAGCAGGCTCCTTGGCAGTGGACTAAAGTCCATGAAAAGAGTTTCAATGAGGTTAAAGCCTTGTTCACTTCTAATGCTGTTTTAGCGCATTTCAATGAGCAACTGCCTGTTTGCATCGCATGCAATGCATCTCCTTATGGGGTGGGAGCCGTACTTAGCCATCTGAAAGCTGATGGGACATAGGTCCCTGTGGCCTATTACTCAAGGACTCTGTCTTCTGCAGAGCGAAATTACACTCAAATTGACAGGGAAGCCTTGGCCAATAGTGGCTGGCATTAAGAAATTTCATGATTTCTTATATGGCCGCCATTTCACGGTCTTTACTGACCATAAGCCTCTGCTGGGTTTGTTTACCACTAACAAACAGACCCCACATATCATTTCTCCTCGTATGCTGAGATGGTTCATTTTCCTGTCAGCATATGACTATACTTTAGTTCACAAACCAGGAAAAGAAATGGGTCATTCAGATGGCCTGAGCAGATTACCACTGAACCAATTAGAGCCAGATCCTGTTCCAGCCATTAATATTCTGTCCATTCAGGAGTTGCCTGAGTCTCCCCTCAGTGCTAGGGACGTGGCTGCAGAAACTGCCAATGATCACACGCTTACACACGTGCTGACATGGGTGTTGTCAGGATGGCCTGATAAGTGCCCAGATACTGAGTTCCAAAGTTTCTGGCACAAGAAGCATGAGTTTTCCACTTTCAAGGGTTGCCTGTTATGGGGCAGCAGGATAGTGATCCCAACCTCATTGAGGTCTAGAATCTTGATCTCTGTGCATGAGGGACATCCTGGTATAGTCAGGATGAAAGCACTTGCGCGCAGCCATCTTTGGTGGTCTGGCCTTGATAAAGCCATTGAGGCCCAGGTGCACGGGTGCCAAGTGTGCCAACAGTCCCGGCCTGAAATGCCTCAGGCCCCAGTACATAGGTGGGAGAAAACTCAAACCCCATGGTCTAGGGTGCATATAGCTTATGCTGGGCCCTTTCAGGGGCAATTCTTCCTGGTTGTTGTTGATAGCCATTCCAAGCGGCTAGAGGTTGTTCCTGTTTCCTCCACTACTACTGCCAGGATCATCCAGGTGTTGAGAGGAATTTTTGCATCACACGGTCTTCCAGATGTTCTGGTTTTGGATAATGGCCCTTAATTTACCTCTTCTGAGTTCCAGGCTTTTCTTCAGGCCAATCTGATCCGGCATGCAACATCGGCTCCCTTCCACCCCTCCTCCAATGGACTGGCAGAGAGAATGGTGCGCACCACCAAAGATGCCCTCAAGAAACTGACTTACAGTAACTGGCATCACAGGTTAGCAGATTTCCTTCTTGCACACCGCACCACACCATGCATTGCCACAGGGAAGAGCCCTGCTGAACTTTGCTGGGGTCGCCGCCTCATCACTAAGCTGGACAGGTTGCACCCTGACCGGGCGGCTTCACAGGTGTCACAACCGCGGGCACCTAGGAGACTCCAGGTGGGCAAGGAACTATGGGCCTGGACATATCTGGGTCACAGCTGTGTTCTGCAAGGTCTCTGGGCCATTGTCATATGAAGTTGCCTTGGGTGATGGCCACGTTATTCGCAGATACATAGACCAAATGTGTTGGAGACTGGACTTTCACCCTTCCACTCCTGGCTCTGCTCTAGGGGGGGTGGAGGACCATAATATGCATTCAGGGTCACAGTTTCCCAGGACTAACAGGCCCTCACTAGCTGCTACTGAGGCTGTTGGGAATTCATCCCAAAGTTCCGCAAGTGCTCCTAACAGGAATTCGCTGGATAGGGAATCATCCCACACATCCATAATTACTCCAGACAGGGAGTCACACTGGGGGTATCCACAGTATTCACATATGTCAGATAGTGCTCCAGACAGGGAGACTGACTGGGGGTACCCACACAAATCACAAGCAGCAAGAGAAAAGGAATACCATCAGGGGCGCTTGCCAAATTCCGCAATTGCTCCCAAAAGGAGGTCTCCAACAAAAGGGGTTGCCATGGAGGCGACTCCTGACTCTGGCACCTGGGACACGTGCTTGGGGGCCACAGAGTACTGGGGCACTTCCGCTACCCAGCCCTCTCCATCTGCTGTCCTTGGGCTCGAGGGACAGTGTTCCCAAGAGGGGTCCATTGTGGACTCGGGAACTTCCACCCCTCCAAGGTATGCTGGCTTAGACTTAGAGGGTCCAGCCAGCCAGCAGCTGGGCGGGTCAACCGGGTATTTGGGACAGCAAAGTCCTGGCCTGCCTAGCTTGGTAGGCGAGCAGGTAGGCCAGGCACCCTCACCAGGGTCACCTGGGAATTTAGGGCAGCAACACCCTGGCCTGCCTAGCCTGGTAGGCAAGCAGGTGGGCCAGGCAATCTCTCTGGGCATTAGAAGGTCGCAGAGGGCCAAGTGCCCACCCAAACATCTGAGAGATTTTGTGAAGTTGCTGTCAAATCATGAGGGACCTGTTCATGAGGCCCCTGAATAAGGGGAGCAACTCGTGGGTAAATTATTTTGTATTATTTTTTTTTATTTCGGATACATTTATTGTATTACTAAGATTGAAGGGGGTTTGCCTGAGGGCAGACTCGAGTATTCTACACTTCTTGCATTTGATTAATGAAACTGTATGACACTCTTTCCAATGCATGGCGTACATGTGAGTGCACAAAGTATGTTCCATCTAGGGGGGAGGGGAGTTGTGTCCTGAGCCTACAAAAGCAGGCTTGGGACGTTGCATTGGTCCCGGGCATTCCAAAAGCTGCCCGGGACAAGACAAAGCGGTGCCAGTCTTGTGCGCATGCGCATGGTGCGAAAACGCTCTGTTTCGTTGGTTGATGTTGTCTGGGTTCCTGACCATATAAAAAGGCTTGCGTGCCTTTTGTTTTTGCTTGGGTGTTGTTAGAAGGAGAATAAAGAGTTGTTCAACATCGCCCTGTGTCTTCATCATTTGCACGTGAACGAAGTATATAACACTATCCATTCCTCCCTTCCCCCTTCTCTTCCTCCTGGAGACATCTCTAGGATACCGAGTTATAGCCAATCTAAGGGGAGAAAAAAACACTTTTGGTTTCTAACACACTGAAAACAAAATGTCCCTTTCTCTGGGGAAGCCTTCTATCCTCTGGAACAGAGCCCTTCCATTGGGAGATAAAGTCAGAAAGTGTCTTCTTTCCTGAGGTTTGTTTGTTTTTTAGTTAAATTGTTTGCCACCCATCTTGCCTTGGGTGGCTTACACAAGTAAAATGGAAAAAACGATTAAAATGTAAACATAGCAATAGTAAAGCAATGAAATAATAAAAATAAAAAATAAGGTTAAGATTAAAAATAAGGTTCCAGAAAGCTCTGAAAACCTGGCTTAGGGTTGAAGTTCATTATTTGCCTAGGGTGGCCCTTGTTTTGTTTTGTTTGATTTCATTGTTCATAAGTTTATTTTAGTCTGGGCTATCAGTCTGATTTGATGTTTTTTAATGTTTTTTTTTCTAGCTTTGTATGTCCCCCAAAGTCTACTGGAGTTGGGAGAATAATAAATTTAAGTAAATAAATCAGAGTCTGAATCCAGGTACGGTGTGTAACCTTCAGAAACAAGCAATACTATTTTAACTCTGGCAAATATTCTATAAAGTTCAATTTGTTTTTTTGGAGCTAGAAAGTAACATGTTGATTTATAATTTTTATTGGAAAAAGTGTTGAATTTGTACTATGTGCATAAAAAAGCAGCTACATACTCAGGACAGATAAGGCGGTTGAGGGGAATTGAATAATTTGTGAAAAAAAATAACATTTTTCCAGAACCATTGCAGCTTTTTTCATTTTTATTAGGAATAAATACAAAAAATATTTTCCGGTTTGTATTCTCTCGTTTCCACTGGGCCTTTTCATCTAGAATCACTTTACCTTATTGACCTGTACTGTATTATCTTTCAGGTATCAGTGAAAAAGGATAAATATTGGGTCTAAGTTGCAGGCAGCTGTATAGTATAAAAATATCTGAATGTTTCAGATATTTTATGTAGCCACTGATATCTCAGGTGAAGAATATTAGTAATTTTAAAAAGTATACTGGATTAGGATTAGGCTTAAGGTATCTTGTTTTTGACAGAAGGATGAAAGAAACAATGTAATCTGCAAAATCAACTGTAATGATTGCAACCAATTCTACATGGGACAAACATCATGTCAATTAAAAATCATGATCCACAAACATCGGCTGGCAGTCAAACGCCATGATCCCAACTCCTTAATCTCTACCCACACCAACACCAAACAACACCAGTTCGATTGGAGCAACACTAAAATCATCGGCCAGGCTATCACCCACCACGCTCGTGAGTTCATCAAAGGCTGGCACTTCACAAGCAATTCCATCAACAGACATATTGACCTACAACCAACCTACGATCCCCTCAGAATCCAAATCAAATGCATAGTCAAACAGAGACAGCATTGACCCTCAACCAACCCACGCAAGCCCCTCCTCTCCCCCATCAGCAGTTCAACTTCCAATGACACTGGCCTGATGTAACCTCTCTATCACAAAACCCATCACAAGCATCCCAACCAACAACCTCAGAGAACGAACCTTCACCCTCATTCTACACCCGAGCTACAGATATTTGCCACCATTGCAAATAAATTGTCCTAAAAATGCGAGTCTTGGGTATATTCATGACAAATTGGAAAACACAGATCACTAAGATTAAAAATTTATTAAAACTGAGCTTTCATCAGCGCCTGCTGACATCGTCAGAGTGTAAGCCAGGATTTGGAAGCATGTTCTTATAGTCTCTGTGATGCCAACCATTTAGCTAGAGCGCATTACGGGTCTATTCAGCCCTCACCCTATATACTCATATGTATGGATGTAGGCATGTGTGTGTGTGTATGTATCATGTGTATATGTGTGTTATGTATGTTTACAGGTAGGTATATACTTTCTTTTGAGAGCAGGCAACAGAATTTCATTTTTAATGTGGGCCAGTGGACTCATAGTAAAAAAAATGACAATAAAGGTTATCTTTCTATATTTAAAAATAAGAATCAATAGAGGCAAGGTTGACTTTTTTCCCCCTTGCAGGTCTTCTCTGTAAATTGTTTTTTAAAGTTTCTGTCCCAGCATGTTGAACTTCAGGTAAGTGGGAAAAAAAATATCAACACAAGTGGGTTTCCAGGAATGAATTGGGTACAAAGAACTCTTGAACACGTCTCCTTTCTCTTCAGCCTGTTAAGGCCTTTCTCCAACAATTTGCTTTTTCAGCAAATGCAAACTGGCATTATTCATCTACTTTAATGGCCCAGTTTGACTGTAATGTTAAATTCTGTATTATGGACATGAACTGGCATGAATTTTAGGCTTGTACGCTTTCCATTTCTCTTTTGTTTCTTTTGGCATTTCTGTGAAAAAGAATCTGGAAGCATCTACTTCTAACTGTAAACAAATCAGACTTCATTTGTCTGAAATCAGGAAATGCTGTTTAGTTTCAAGTTTTCAAAACACTGTCAAAAGAACCCCAGACCAAGCACTGGCAAGTTTTTCTGGACTGTAACACCCTTTCTCTCAATTTACTTTGAGCCAAAAAAATGTTTAGAATTGCCTAAATCCCACACAGTCCGCACCCAGACCATTAACATCTCTACAACTTGGGTGAGAACTTATCAGATTTTTCATGAGATCTCAAGATTTTTGGGCATTCTCACAAAAGTTCTAAGACTTTTTATTTTAACCATCTCATAAGATGTTGGACAATTTTTCAAAACATCGATAGGCTAGGCTGTCTCTTGGATCCTGATTCTCCTATAATGCCATCCTGCTGGATAAGTTCTATTTTTAAGATTGGTTGAACGGCTACATCCTTTTTTGTTCTTTATGTTCCATACCTCAGGTGGAATGAACATTGGAGATTTCATTGGCGGTTTTTACTGACATAAGTACAGTTGTGGTGCACTTTTGTTTTCTTAGTAAAATGAGTTCATTGCTTTGTGGTCTATAGAAATTCTCAGCTAAACTTGTGTGGTTACCTTGGGCTCTTTTAAGTAGCAGTGCATAGCTTGCGTGACATCAGCAGCATGGACAGCATTGTGATACGGGTTTTGGCTGTGATAATCTTCCTGCACCATACCTAGAAGGAACAGAAGAGATGTGAACTTTTTCTTCAACTCTGTGATTCAAATGCTTTTGACACTTTGGGCTGATAGCTAAACTTTAAACTGGAGCTCTTTCTAAGATTTCAATAGCTTATCATTCCTTTGGTTAAACAGAAAATCTATACTGTGGAAAAGATTTGTTTCTAAATCATTTTTTATTGCTTTTAATGAAAACAATAAAAGTCAGAAGAAAAATAAATACCTTATGAGGAAAAAAAAAGGAGGAAAATCTACAATGGTATTATTATCCAAGGCTGATTTTCTCTATGGATCAAGGTGGTCCCTGATCTAAAGCTGAGCAGTACCTCTTATTCCTAAAACCAGATAGCAATCACATGATTGATGAAATAGGAATACTGCCTATTTCACTTAGTATACAGTGGGGCAAACTAGATGACAACTGTGTGAATTTAATTACCGTATTGTCCGGCGTATAGGACGACTCGGTGTATAAGACGATGTCCGACTTCGGCGCCAATTTGCATGCCTAGAAAGTTGTCTTATATGCCAGAAACTACTGTAATTTCCAGTGTATAAGACGACTCGGCGTATAAGACGATCCCCAACTTCGGCACTGATTTCTATGCTTTAGAAAGTCGTCTTATATGCTGGAAAATACGGTAACATACCTATATTTTTATACTATCACTATTATAGTCATGGTTGTAGTCATAGTGTCATAAACAGAAACTGAGCATAGTCTCTCCAATCTCTTTTCTAAATTGTACTTTGCATATTAAGTGAAGCCTCCATTATTGTAAAAAGATATGTACCCTGAACTATAAAATCACACTTTTGGAAAAGCATAAACTTTCTTTCCTAAGGTCCTGATATTACTCAGATTTTTGAATAATATTCCCTTAATATCTGTATTCACATGAAAAACAGAATAGCAGAGTTGGAAGGGACCTTGGAGATCTTCTAGCCCAACTCTCTGCTCAAGCAGGAGACACTATGCCATTTCAGATAAATGGTTGTACAATCTCTTCTTAAAAGCCTCCAGTATTAAACCAAAGATGCTTTTTTACTAGGCAACTGGACTTTTTTGTTTTTCTTTGAAGATCTTTTGCTTCTCATCCAACAAGCTGAAGAAGCTTCTTGGATGAGAAGTGAAAAAACATCTTTGGGACAACTATGACCTGGTTGACTTAGATTCTCCATACACCTCCAGTATTGGAGCACCCACTACTTTTGGGCGCAAGTCGTTCCACTGATTAATTGTTCTGACTGTCTAATTTCTCCCAAGTTTTAGGTTGGTTCTCTCCTTGACTGGTTTCAGCATGATTCATGATTAATTTCAATAGGATTAATGTTGAATCTGAGTATGAGATGGTGTATTTTTTGTACAAAAAGCATGCCCCTATATGTTGAGCATATATTTACCTCCTACACAATTGTTCTGGGCTAAGTGAAGCCAGTGCCACCAGGAAATAGCAGTGTGGCCTGTGAGGTTCCCCATACACCCCATTCTAATTCTATCTTTCAAGAGCTTCTTTCCATATTTAGGGTTCAGCTCTGAAATATACCACTGTTGGTATATTATGAGAAGAAACCTGCATTGGTCAGACCTTCTGGGCACCAGACATGAACAAGACTTCAGAGAAAATGTCACTAGTGGTGACATGATAGCAGTGCTCCAATATCTCAGGGGTTGCCACAAAGAAGAGGGAGTCAAACTATTCTCCAGAGGGCAGAACAAGAAGTAATGGATGGAAACTAATCAAGGAGAGAAGCAACCTAGAACTAAGGAGAAATTTCCTGACAGTTAGAATAATCAATCATTGGAATGACTTGCTTCCAGAAGTTGTGAATGCTCCAACACTGGAAGTTTTTAAGAACAGACTGGACAGCCATTTGTCTGAAATTGTATAGAGTTTCCTGGGTTGGACTAGATGATCTCCAAGGTACCTTCCAACTTTATCATTGTCATTATCATTATCATTATCAAAATGAATCAGAAATTGGAATGGAAGTCCTGAAAGAAGATATTTTAAAAAAAGCAGCATCACAAAGAAGATAATTAAGACTTATTCTCAATCTCCGTGGACTCTAGAACAAGAATAATCATCCTCAATTATAGGAAGGCAGATTATAGGTAAACATTAGGAAAAAGGATAAAAGTAGTTTGACACTAGTAGCAATGACTTAGGGAGATAGTGGCTACCCTTAACAGAACATACATTATCTGGGATATCTGGGAATACCTTGATAACAAAATAATTAGTAGACAAACCTTGATAACAAAGTAATCAAACAAATGTACATCCCTTATTCAATTTGATGTTGAAATGGCTCCTTTATAGCTCTATAAATTAATCTAAATGACTACACGGAGATTGTTTTAAATGGACACGTGGCAAAAATCATTCCTGTAGTGAGGCAACGAAAAGACCACATACTTGGTTTGGGTTTTTACTTTTTCAGTCTAGCACTTGCAGACTTCTTAACCTATTTGGGTTTCCTAATCCTGTAATACTCACATTTCAGCTGAAAGACTGACAACAAGGTTCTTTTGCCCTTTTGACTCTTGTTAGCAACAGAAGTGAGAATTCTATCACTTTGCTACTAAGCTTTGATTGTGCCAAGTAGTTGTTCAATTTCACTTCGCAGAGAAGTGATAAATAAACTGTCACACTAACTTGGCGTTTAAGAAGAATGTATTTTATAAACCTTTTCCCACATAAGAAAAATAAAAGTAAAGGTGAGACAAATAAGATAGGGTTAGGATTAGCAGATACAGCCTATGGATAGCCATGAGGTCAAAATGAAGAAGGCAAAATTGCATTGCTTCTCACCAAAACAATAAAAAAAGCAAAAAGCAGTCAGAGTGTATGGAACTGCAACGGCACACAAACTGGATGGATGGACAAATGGGGGGGGGAGAGAGAGAGGGATGGATGGAGGGAGGGAGGGAGAGAAAGAGAGAGAGAGAGAGAGAGAGAGAGAGAGAGAGAGAGAGAGAGAGAGAGAGAGAGAGAGAGAGAGAGAGAGAGAGAGATCACGTGAATCTCCTGATCAGCCAAATAATTGAAAAATCTGTAATGTACCCAACAGAGATAGAACCATCAAATCAATTCTCTTTCCAGAGAACTTCCCCACTTTAAATCAGCTTGTGCCTGCCAGAGCCTATACAACATTTATTTGTGTTATTATGCTTTTTTATTGGATGGATTGATATTGTTCCATCCAATTATTGCAACTATGTCATGATAACATTATTTTAATTTTAGTTTTTTTTTACTAGGAATGTTTTAACTGACATTTTATAATGACTGTTTTAATTATCAACCCAAACTGCCATGAATTGTTGGCAGATTCAGTGGTATATAAATATAATATAAAAGTCGATAGTAGAAGCAGGGCAGCTCTTATATTTGACCACATTATCAACCAACACTGAAGTGTGCTAATTCATATCCATTTAAAAAAATGTCGGGAGAAGAAGGAAATCACTCTTTGAAACCAAAGTAACTAAAGATAACTGTAGCTGTGGACTGGGGATGAGGAGAAATCAACATTATGACAGAATGACATAAAAAGAAACGGTTACCTTGTAGCTTGGGAGATGGGAGGTTGAGCCCTATGTTCAGTTTGGGTTGAGATAGTCTTGTTTAGTTTGAAATGGCTATTTGACAAACCGGGTCAAGTGGAGAAAGTCAGATAGCAGGGTAAAGGAAGACAATGAAATATGTACGGTGAGATCATGATGCAAACCCCAAGCAAATATGAAAAGTTAAGGTCCACATTCTGGCATCATAATGTGTGTTTCATCCATTGACATCACTATCATTTGTACCAAACAAGTATAGCTCCAGGGGCCATCAAAAGAAATTGAGAAGATGGGATGCAGAAATCTCTGCCATCCTAGGTTGTCCACACCTAACTTCAGAGATTCTGAACCTAAGGTATTTAAAGAGATAGCATCAACATTCACAGGTAATGGAAGGATGTGCTTACCTAAAAATCTGTATAATGTAACCATATCTAACTGGAAATGATGAATAAGCCCATGTATATTAAAGAGGTGGCACAACAAGGTTACCAGGCTGTTCCCTGAAAGAACAACAACAAAAAAAGCATATCAGTTACTTGCATTTAGTACTATACCATAAAATAGATAGAATGCAGGTTCTGTAACTCTGGAAATCTTCCCAGTAGTTTTTGATTACCTAAACAAGTAAGTTTATTGGGCCAAGACAAATTCCCAGCTAGCATGGCAGTTAAAGGCATTTTCAGAACATCTAGAGGGCTTGCAACTATATCAAGATAGTATTATTTTAATTTTAGTTTTTTACTAGAGATGTTTTAATCCTTCTACCCACTTTCTAGTAGTACTAGGCCAACTTCAGATACGAAATAAGAGTATTTCTTATATTTGCCACACAGACAGATGAATATAGGTAGTCCTCAACTTACAATGACAATTGGGACCAAATTTCTGTGGTTAAGCAAGGTGGGCGTTAACCGGGTTGCTTCTGATGTTACAACCTTTTTTGCTATGTTGTTGAGAGAATCATTGCAGTGAATCTGGGTCCCTCTCCCATTGATTTTGCTTCTTGGAAGCTGGCGGGGAAGGTCGTAAATGGTGATTACATGAAATCGGGACCCAGTGACTCTTCATAAATACATGCTGTTTGCCAAGTGCCCAAATTAAGATCACGTGACTGTTGGGATGCTGCAGTGGTCCTAAGGATGAGGACCGGTCATAAGCTCAAATTTTGATCATGTGGCTGTGGGGATGTTGTGATGGTCCTAAGTGTGGGGACCAGTCATAAATCACTTTTTTCAATGCCATTATAACATTAAACAGTTCACTAAAGGAATGGTTCTAAGTCAAGGATGACCTGCATATTAGAAGAACATGTCCAGGAGTTTTCAGTGATGTCCAAATATCCTATTCTTTTCACACTTATACTTTGCTGAAGACCGCCTATACTTCATGGATGTTCCATGTATTGACAGAAGATTCTGGGTATGCACTAAGATTAATTTTTTGCTCTCAAGGAACAACAGACTAAGCCCATGGTGCTATTCAGGCACTGCTCATTGTACCGGCTAAAATCAGCAAGCTGTCTTTTGTGCAACATATCTGTTATTATTACATTTCTCCTGAAGAAGAAAAGACAGTAGGATGCATTTTGAATGAAAGCCAGAATTCACACCAAAGGCTGAGGTGCAAAAAAGAATCTTGTACCATTATGGGCAGTGCAATGCATTTTGAAAGTTTTTTTTTAAAAAAAAACTCATCCAGGATACTTTGAGCAAAGCTTCACCCTGAATTTTATAGAACTTTTTTTTTTTTTTTTGGCAGGGCTGGGGACATGTACCACCTAAGAAGTCTGGGGGAAAAATTCTGGCCCCAGTCTTCCTCCTGACATCATAGCCTAAGGCTGACTCTAACTGGGTAATTTTAAAGTTATATCTACAATTACACAAATTACTAAGAAAGCAGTTGTTGGATTTTGTTTGTTTTGCTTTAAAAATAACAAAAACTATCAGTAGCAGCAAGATATGATGGTTGTTTTAGCAGGATCTGGATGATAAAGAGAGAGGAGCGAGGCTGGAATATACTGAACCAGGAAGGGAAAAGACTAAAAGTGTCAATGAGAACAAGAAGCAACATGCACGTGCTGTGAACTTGCACAAATCTCTACAGACTTTTGATATCTTATGGACAATTTCTTTTCTTTTCCTTTTATTTCTCTTTTGTCCACAGTTACAGAGTTGGTACCTTTGAACCAACAATAGCCAAGATGTTTCTCTAAAGACACCATTCCTCATAGAGTAGATTCCAGGATATAGGATATCACAATCACAGCTGTAAAAAGGCATTTTTTTTTTTGCAGTTTTCTACCCTGTTCATTTAAGCTTCATGTTGTGCAACAAGAAAAGTTTCAACAAAACAAGCTTTAAGGTTGAAGGAACAACTTTGAGTTCAATCAGTGAAAACATGAAACACCACTGTTGAACATGCATTTAATGAAATAGTATTTTGTGCTGTTTCTTTGTATCTTACCATTTGTCAAGCGGTCGAACAGGAAAATGTCAAAATCCCACATTCCCACCTTGGATAACATATGCTGGAAACAGAAAGATAAAATGCAGAATAATTGTATGTGCCAACTTAAATGTAAAGCGCTTTCTATTAAAATGAACAGCATCCTTAAAATAGAAGATAACAATTGCACAAAGAAAGCCTCATCTAGAATTAGAGCTATCCTGGAAATCAAATCAAGTTTTATTCTTGCAATATAGGTGACTCCCTCTCACAGTTACTGTTTTTGAGCCAGGTTTCGCCCAATCTGTACTTGAGCCTTTGATTTTTCCTGCCTAAACGTAAAACTTTACTTTTCTCTACACTGACACTCATTTTGTTGGATAGGGTCCATTGTTCAAGTTTGTCAAGATCTTTTTGGATCCTGAGTTTGTCTTCTGGAGTGTTGGCTACTCCTGTCAGTTTGGTGTCATCTGCAAATTTGATGAGTTCCCCTTCAATTCCCTTATCTAAGTCATTTATGAAGATATTGAAGAGTACTGGGCCTAAGACGGAACCTTGTGGTACCCCACTGCTTACTTCTCTCCATGTGGATGTAGTGCCATTGAGGACTACTCGTTGAGTATGGTTTGCCAGCCAGCTACAGATCCATCTGGTGGTGATGTTGTCTATTTCATCTTTTTCTAGCTTACCAAATCTACTAGTCTACTTTATCAAATGCCACAGCATTTCGCTAATCTACTAGTTTAGTCACTTTATCAAAGAATGAAATAAGATTGGTTTGGCATGATCTGTTTTTAATAAACCCGTGCTGGCTACTAGTTATAACTTTGTTTGCTTCTAGTTCACAGATCTGTTTTTTGATTGATGTTAAACTGACTGGTCTATAGTTTCTGTTTTTTCCCCTTTCTTGAAGATGGGAACCACAGCAGCCTTTTTCCAATCCTCAGGTACTTCCCCAGTGCTCCAGGATTTATGAAAGATGTGATGTAATGGTTCTGAGATAACACCTGCCAGCTCCTTCAGAACTCTGGGATGTAATCTGTCAGGTCCCGGTGATTTATACTTGTCAAGGTCGGATAGGTGTTCTCTTACCATTTTCTTGCTTATTTTAATTTTTGTTTCTAGTTTGACTTTGGCAGTGGTTTTTTTGGTATGTTGAGCTATAGTTTTTTTTGTGTGAAGACTGATGCAAAGTATGAGTTAAGCAGCTCTGCTTTCTCCCTGTTGTCTGTTATTTCCTTGCCAGCTTCTCTTTTTAGTAGACCAACAGTTTCCTTGACTTTTTTCTTCTTCTTAGTGTGTTGGAAGAAACTTTTTTAAAATTATCTTTGATTTCTGTTGCAAGTCTTTGTTCATTCTGAGCCTTTGCTTTCCTGACTTCCTCTTTGCATATTCTGGCTGTCTGCTGATAATCGGCCTTAGTTATGTGTCTCTCTTTCCATTTTTTGTATTTGTTCTTTTTCTCTTTCAGTTTGTCAGAGAGATCTTTGTGCAGCCATGCTGGTTTCCTCTTGAATTTCTTGCTTTTCTTTTTCAGTGATATTGTGCTGGTCTGGGCTTTTATGAACGCATTTTTCAGAGTTTCCCACGCTGCTTGAGTTGTTTTCCCCTTTAGGATTTTCATCCATGGTATCTTTCCTAGGTTCTCTTTGAGTTTGTTAAAGTAAATGTTACTGAAATGTTAAGTTCCATGATATAGGTAGTCCTCGATTTATGACCATATAAGGCAATTAAGTGAGTTTTGCCCCATATTGTAACCTTTTTTGCCACAACTGTAAAATGAATCATTACAGTTGTTAAGTGAATCATACAGTCATTAAGCGAAACTGGCTTCCCCCATTGACTTTGTTTGTCGGAAGCTAGCTGGGAAGCTTACAAATGGTGATCACATGACTCAGGGACAGTGCAACTGTCATGAATACACACCAGCCGCCAAGCACCTGAATTTTGATCACGTGACCATAGAGGCCATAAGTATGAAAACCACTTATGAATCACTTTTTTCAGTGCTGTTGTAACTTTGAATGGTCACTAAACAAATGGTTGTAAGACAAGAATTACCTGCATTTAAATCAGTTAAAATAGATAAAGGGGCTTGATTGAAAGGTTTGAATTTATCCCACAATAGTTTTACTTGGATATGGTGCTGCTAAAGATGAAAGCTACAATTCCATACCTATATATTTAAGAGTTCAACAAGACAGACTTCTGAGTTGACATGCACAAGATTATTCTCTACAGTATTATTTTTTTTTCTGTCAACTTCTTTAAGTTAGCCTGCCTTAGAATCAACCTTGCTTATATGGCAAATGGATTAAATTAATACAGCTTTATCCATCACAGTGGCCCGATTCAGATAATCAAATCCTAACTGTGACTTCAGTGTTTGCAAACTTATTTCATGATTCATTTTCAGTCAAACATACCAGGAAGCTTGTCATCATTCCCAATTTGGTCTAATGATTAAGGCACCAGGATAGAAACTGGGGGATCATGAGTTCTAGGCATGAATGCTGGGTATGTGACTTTGTGCCATTTAGTTTTTCTGGGTCCAGCCCACCTCACAGGGCTGTTGTTGGGAAAATATGGGGAAGGAAGGAGTATCAGGTATGTTTGCTGCCTTGAGTTATTCATAAAAATAATAAAGACAGGATATCAATTAATCAAATTATGGTTAAATTAGGAATGAAAATCCAAATGAAGCTTGATTATAAGAACCGAACTTGAAAGAATAGATTGCTTTTTACCCTTGCTTGACCAAGGTAGTCTTCATCCAGTAAGTACAGCGAAGTTTGTGGTATGATTCCACGCAATAGCCTGGATGCATGGAAGTATCTCTGAAAACTTAATAGTCTCTTAACCTTTTTCTTTGTTCCGATTTCTCCTGAGTAAATGGTATCTATGGGAAAAAATGGGGACAGAAGATCTTCACTAAAGCAATGAACAACAACTCCACAAAAGCCAAACCTTGATTAGCCGGTTTTAAAATTCCTGCATAATCTAATTATGCTCTTTGTCTATGGCAGTGTTTTTCAACCTTGACAATTTTAAGGCATGTGGACTTCAACTCCCAGAATTCCACAGCCAGCATTGCTGGCTGTGGAATTCTGGGAGTTGAAGTCCACATGCCTTAAAATTGTCAAGGTTGAGAAACACTGGTCTATGGAGATTCTCAGTCATCCAGGTCACGGTTGTCCCAAAGGTCCTTTTTCATGAGGTTTTTCTTTGAAGACGTTTCGCTTCTCATCCAAGAAGCTTCTTCACCATCCAGTCAGAGCTGAAGAAACTTTTTGGATGGTCTTCAAAGAGAAAAAAGAAAGTCCAGTTCCTCATGAAAAAGCACCTTTGGGATAATTATGCTCTTCTTTTCCCAAAGAAAAGTTACAAAAAGTAAGATACTACCATCATATTCTGCTTTGCCAAAGAGAAAAGTGTGATAAATGGTCAAAACTAGGAAGAATCAAAATATTACTGGTCTATTGTTTTCTACGGCCTAAACCAGGACTGACTATAGGCTGAGGCTGATTAGGCACCGACATAGGGGCATCAGATTTTAGGGAGCATCAAAATTGAAAAGATTTCTGAAAGACACACAAAAAAGAGAAAAGCGCTAATGGTGCGCCCTGTGAGTCAGTGTGCCTGCTCAAGGATTAAATATAATTTCACAGAGTTGCTGACATATAATAAGGGGTATTTAAAATGATTTAGAATGTATATGGTCCAGGGTTGAAAATCACAACTGTAAATCTCCAAATGTCAAAGGAAAAAGAAACAAAAGGACATCATTTTGAAATTCTTAGCAAACTCAGACAATGAGTCAAACCATAAGAGACACCAGGATATGACTTTGCCTAGAGTGCCAAAATGTCTATAGCCAGCCCCGGCCTAAACAGATATAGGAGTAAAGAGAATTATTTAAATGTATTAGAGTAGTCTGATCTGGATTGCCTGCTGGATAGCACAAAAATTAGAATTTCCTACATACATCCCTTTGCTTTCATCTGGTGGTCATCTGGATTTTTGCACCTGGTAGCCTTTAGTGTGTTCTCATACTGTATTTCAGTTAAGAAACAAAATGTGATTACAATCCACAATATTTTAACCCCTGCATTTAATGTCAAGGACATTTTAGATGAATCTCTGTTCTACTGTCTTTTTGCTCTGACTGGCAGATCCACAGTGTTTTCCTTCTACATTGTAAATCCAAAATATAAAAAAATCAATTTTATTTACCTTGCTAACATATCTCTGCACAGCTTCCTTAAAATGACTGTTATATTCAAAGAGCAAAACTTGATCGTTTTTTTAAAATTCATCTTTGGACCGTAACACAGAGTACCTAACACAGAGATTTCAAATTAAACCTTATTGTGTCCCTCCTTTTTAATACTTTCCACATTCTTTAGTAATACTTATCTAAGGCGTACCCACATTAAAGTATAGCATTTCCCAAATTGTTGTTTGGAATCAAATAACAGAAAAGATTGCTTTATTTCACAGAGAACATTAAAGTGGATAATCAGTCTGACTCAATATCCAGATCCAGAGCTACACATACAAAACATTGTCTACTTTTATTTCAGAACTTTAGGCTTTAAAATGTTTTACAAGGTTCCCTAGGATATATTTGTTTTGAAATGTGATTTAATAACATTCTTAAATTAAATAAAGAAAAAGAAAACACATCTTCCCTTCAGTATTAAAACTAAACATTTTAGTCTTTCCAAAATAAAATTTACCTGGTTAATGCAAATGGAATTTTAAGGCTAAAAACTTTGGATTTCCCATGGGCTCCACTGACTGAACTTAATTTTTGCCTATTTAAAGTAAATGTTCACTTATTTAAAAACGTTTTTATCACACACTCAGCTGCTGCCACAATACCTTATATGTAGTCAAAGGGAAACAACCACCTTGGCCTTCAGGCTTTCAATTTATAAAAGCAAGTTGCATGTACATGTGTTCTTAAAAGCAAGTTGCATGCACACGTATTCTTATAAAAGCAAGTTGCATGCACATGTGTTCTTCTGTAGCAGTGGTGGCAAACCTATGGCACGAGTGCCAGAGGTGGCACTCGGAGCCCTCTGTGTGGGCACACATGCCATTGCCCCAGCCTTGCTTCCCTCTGTGACCCCCCCTCCTCACCAGCAGCCCTCCTGGAGAAGAGTTGCCCCCGAGCATGGCCCACATGGAGCAGTGCAGCCAAGGACATGGCAGCCAGGCAGTGTAGACAAGACTCTGCCCTCACGCCACATCACGCACAGTTGATGCTGCAGGGTGCATGCAGAGGGCGTTGCTGTCATGGCACTGCTGGGAGATCTGCGGTGGGTCCTGGAGAGGGTGACTGGCCCTGCAGGCAGGTGGGGTGGGGGCGGAGCAGAGGCGGGACAGGGGGTGGAGTGGGGGCGGGGCCATATTTTGGGCACTTGGTCTCTAAAAGGTTCGCCATCACTGACTATAGTGACAGGGAAAGGGAAGAAAAAGAAGCACCAATTCCAGGTGTTTTCTATAGGGGAAAAATGTCTAAGTACCAAAAGAAATACTTAAGTTTATTGTTCACCTAATTTAGCAAAAACAATTCTTTACTGTGTTTGCAAACTAATATCAGGACATTGTTTTGATGAATAACAATCTTTCAAAAAAATTGATATAATTTTTCTAATACAAGTGTCATTGTCTTCTTTCATTATTTGATTTGATATCGAAATTACTAGAATCAAGTCAACAAACACTTTTCCTCCTACCCTTCTTCCTAGATGTCCTAAATGCAAGAAAGGTAATTTCACAGTGAAACTGGTTATCAAAGGAATTACGACTTCTGATCTATTCTCTAACTAACAAGCATTTGTTTTTGTCTCCAATGTTTACTCCAGCTCTAAAATTTAGTCCAGCTCTAAAATGAGGCAAATAATAAAATCATCGATAGTTTAAAAACTGCTATTGATTTATTTATGAGCATTGATAATAGAGTGGTGTGGTGGCCTGGTGGTGAAGACGATCACTTGGATGGTTCAGAGTTCAATCCTAAGTAGTGGCAGATGTTTCTCTCCTACAGTGTAAAGAAAAAATATCTGCTGTGAACTCTGCATGGCATCAGGAAGGGCATCCAGCCAGTAAATGCTCAGCTCCTTCCAGTTGCCCCGACTCTGCCCTTAATTAAGGGATTACAATGAGCTGAGGTGGCGCAGCAGTTAGAGTGCAGTACTGCAGGCCACTTTAGCTGACTGTGTTCAGCAGGTCAGCGGTTCAAATCTCACTGGCTCAAGGTTGACTCAGTCTTCCATCCTTTTGGTGTAGACCCAGATTGTTGGGGGCAATGTAAATATATATATACATTGCTTACTGGTGTACACCACTTAGAGAGCGCTTGCACTTAAAGCGGTGTATAAGTCTCATAAATAAATAAATAATAAATAGGGGAATTTTTAATTGATGGATTTATAATCAGCCATGGTGGCATATACTTCTGCTGCCTGCTGGCTGCCTGCAGTTCAGCAGTTTGATTCTCATTGGCTCAAGGTTGACTCAGCCTTCCATCCTTAGGTAAAATGAGGACCCAGATTGTTAGGGGCAATACACTGAAACCACTTAGAGAAGGCTGAAAAGCACCGTGAAACGGTATATAAATCTAAATACTATTGCTATTGCTATAAACTCTCTGACCTGATCCCATTGAAAAAGTCTAGTAGGTATCTATAATGCCAATGGACCCCTGAAGAGGAATTAATCTCACATTATACATTGAAAAATCAATAGAAAAAAAGACAAAAATTAGCATGATTGTATTGAATGCTCTGCTTGAAGGTGAGCCATTGACTGATGGCAATCTTGCCAGGGTGCAGCAATGCCTTGAGATACCTAACTGCATGTTAACAACACTATATGCCATATAAAATGCTGGAAACTTAGGTTTAATTTCATTACTGCACTCCATAAATTGGTGAACTCCAACTGCATCGTATCCTAGCCAATCCAATCAATGATAAGAGATATTGGGGGTTCTAAGATGGCAAATATTGGGGGTTCTAAGGTGGCCTCCCCCCTGTTTGAAGGCCAAGGAGATATCCTATAAGTAAAACTATATTATATATACTGAATTATAAACACAATAATTAAACACATAAGGAATTTTATAAGATAAACTCCTTTACCTAGAGATACTTTTGAAGTCATTTTTAAAAGGGTTAATACTTTATTGCTGATTGAGAAGGAAATACCTTTCCTTCCCTGTTCCTGTTCCTCCTTAAGGCAAATGAACCTGTAATAATAGAATATATCCAGCCTTTTCATTTATCATCTTAATGGTTCTTTAACTTTGTTTTCTCTCTTCCTTATGGCAGTTGGGAAAATATCCTCCACCGTTATCATCACAACACCCTTTTCCTTGGAACAGAAGGTCAGGTAACAAATTAAATAACCAATCTCATGGTTTAAAGTGTGTGTTTCAGTTTTTAGAAATAATGGAAAATAATTCAATCTTTGTGGAGATAATATTAAACAATATAAAGATAAGAAAAACTGTACTCTCGATCCAAGGACATACCTTAAGTGAATAAAATAACTGCAACAGGTGGGTATAATTTGTTCAAACTGCTTCAACAGATTGGTATGGCTTAATGAAATAAAATGAACATTCAAATTGATATTTGGTAATGAATCTAACAGTTTAAAATGCCAGGGGGGAATTTGGAAAATTAGGAGTGTTTCTTCCAGCATAATTCTATAGCTATGTATACAGTATATATTTCATCCTATTTCATCTTGTCAATACATTGTTGAATCCAAAACACTAGCAAAACCTTCCTCCCTCTCTCCTAGCCTCTCCCTTTCCAATATTTGTAACCAATGTAAATTTTATATCAAACTGTATATGGCTTTATCAGCACTCTAAACTGGCCTGGAAACCTACACCCAGGCATGTCGGGGGTCTTAAAATCAGTGTTCGTTCCTTTGCTGTAGTGAGTTTTGTGCCAGTGACAGTCTGGACCCTACATTCTGTACCAGTTGTAGCTTCCAGGTTATCTTTGGAAGAAACCACATGTGGAATTACAGTTCTCCAATCAATTGGTGATAAAGGCTGGCAGTGTCACTAGGACACTGCAGCCAAAGCCCCTCCCCCCCAGTCATAGTTTCCATCTGCTGATGTAGCCCTGAGTCTCCCAAATCATGGACCATGTTTAGGGGGTGTATAACCCCATCAACAGTAACTCCTGGGATTAATATTACTGAATCTTTCAGATGTATACAGTGAAACAGACATTCCATCTTCATAGGGATAATGTGAATCTATGTCTCCCATGACTATCCAGTCCTTAACAGCCACCAAACATGAGTTCAGGACTTCAGCAGTTTCTCCAGTTGAACCTGCAGTGGGTCATTACTGTATTCATTAAACTTCACCCCAACTCGTTAGGTGACATCTCCCAGCAGTTTCATAAAGGTACATTAACTTAGGCAAATTAGGATTCCTAATATTGGGAAGCTGGAATATGGTAGTCCTTATGACGTGGATAATGAGATATAAAGGACAAATATTAAGTTCACTGATGACCCAAAATTTGTATCTAGTACACTAGAAGAGAGAAGTAAAAATATGCATTTTTTGCATTTAGAAAACAGGGACCAATGGCACAAATTAAGATACGGGATACCTGTCTTTATAATAATACTTGTAAAAATAATGGATTGCAAATTGAAAATGGGTCTGCAAAAAGATAAATTCAGACTTAAGTTGCATCAACAGAAACACTCTGTTTAAATGTGAAGTATTTGTTCATATTTCGATTGACTCCTTCACCTCCCACCTTCAAGCACTGTGCTCGGTTGTTGCTGTTATATTTTAAAAAGAGTTCAAAGAGACTGAAATAATTCAGAAAAAGGCAATAAGTATGATCAAAGAACTAGAAACTAAATCCTGAGATAAGTGATTCTATGAAATTGGAAATTTTAGTTTTATTATTACCTACCTAAAATAATAGTAAAGGTCTTTTTAAAAAAGTTATATTGATGGTGGAATATATTAACTGATTATGAATCATCAAGACTGTATTGACCCTTACCAATCACACAAACAGATCTTCTCCATGATGATTTGTCCTTTAGCTCCCCAATAATGTATCCATTATTGTCATTGCTGTAGATCAGGGGTCCCCAACCCCCGGTCCATGGACCAATACCGGGCCATGGCATGCCAGCAACTGGTCTGCACAAACAAGGAAAGCCCCATCCACAGGACGCAGGCAGCACACAAAACCACGTCCTCTCCAGTCTGCGGAAAAACCTCTATCCACATAAGCGGTCTCTGGTGGCCAAAAGGCTGGGGACCTCTGCTGTAGATTGTCTTCTTCTCATGTTTCTTGTCCTTTTCCCATCATTATGGACTTCTCAAAAAAGCTGGATCTTTGTGTAAACATTGCAAAGTTTATAACAATTTGAACCTAATCATTAATGCCTTGAATGAGAATTCTTGATAAAAATTAGTCATATAATCCATTGTTTTCTTGACAAGAGGTATATCTAAATCTTTGCTTTTGGTTGGCTTTGGCTTTTGATCCTTAATAACCAGTTTTCAGTTAGGAACAATACATGAAAAGCATAGTCTATTTTCTATAAATTATGGCATGAATCCCTGATCCCATTTCAGCAGTGCAGCATGGAATTTCCTCTTGTTCTTAATTAAGGCAATCAAGAAGTGTGTTTTATCAGTTATTGACAGGCAGTATGACATGAAAATGAAAGCTAATTTTAATTACCACATAGGACTTAATGAAAGGATCTGCTTCAATGACTCAACAAGCAACTTAGTCAATCAGAGAATTAAATTATCACTGCCTTAGCAGGAAAATCCTTTTTGAACCAGACTAGCTCCCAATAAAAGAAAAGGGACTGAAGTAAATGAAGAAAAAGTGATACAGAGATATTTGAAATCAGAAATGTGCATTTCATAGCAAACAGGTATTGTACTCATATCATATTCTGAGAGAGGGTAAAAAATAGTAAAGCTTTTCACACACTGAGGGTTGTTTTGAATGGTTTATTTACACAGGCATAAAAAATTAAAATTAGGTTGTTGATTTCAGTAAGATTTTCACCCCTAGTGTGATCACAGTACTTTTAACAAGACTAAAATCATAATAAAAATATTAAATATATAATACCGCCCAATTAATTAATTTGCTTATAAGCACTGATCTGCCACCACTGTTTCATTTTATATTGTTTTATGTATTATTTCATTTGTGCTTATGTATCATATGAACATGCATTAAAAATAGAAATTAGGGCTAAAAGTAGAAGTGCAAAGAATTTCTTCCCATGATGTCTTTTGCCTTATGGACTGCCTTTCCGCTTGATCCATAAAGTTGTTTGGAAATGATCTAACATTTTCCAGGATTTTTCCTAAGATACAGTGATTAGAGGAATTGTGAACATATGAAACTATTATACTACTGAATGCCTTGATCTTTTGAAACATTTATACAAAGTCATACCCATACTGCCTGAAAAGTAGCTACTCAGTTAATTAAAAGTGCAAGGTAACAGAAAAACAGCAGTTTGCCCTATTCTGATAGCATACTCCTGAATTTTTATTTAAAGATGCAGATACGAGAAACTGGTAGGTAATAAACAATGCATTAGAAAACCTTTGAGAGCCATAGTTAAAAATGTATGTCATATCTACATGGTGGGTTTTTTTGGTGATTATCAAATATTTTCTTCTTTTTAAACAATTCTGTTTTCTCTTTCTTTTAAATAGTGTTGTTATTAATAAGGCCCAGCAACTGCTCATGATAATTTTATATAATTTCCCAGAAAACTCACATGCTTAAAATCCATTCTCAGGACACACTTCTTCCATTATGTGTTTGCAGAGTTGCACATAAGCACAATTTCATCAGTTTTCCCCTATTATTGATTCATTGACTATATTTTCACTCTGCCTTTTCTCGAGAAGCTGAAGGCAGCATAGTTTGAGAGCAAGGGAAAGAACTAAAGTGCCCAGATTCACTTAGCTGAGATGAGCGATGTAGAAATAAATAAACTAGGAAGTCTTAAGTTGAATGGATTTGATGAAACCCTTAAAAAGAGAGAGGCCCAAAGTTTAATGAACTAAAGATAACATGCTCATACATAGAAGCCAACAAGATTGGCCAGGATAGAAATATTTAGTGAATGGGATTGATGTAAATTAGTCATAATTATATTTCCTTTTAAATATTTTTGCTATTCCTTAATTTCTGTTAGTATTTCTTGTTCCTTTTCTGTACCCTGTCTATCCTGAAAGAGAATAGCCTGATAACATTCATGCAAGCATTTTCCATTTAATAAATTCGGAGAGAGAAAAAAAAGTTAAATGTACTGTTTCTTTCCTGGAAGCACTTCAACGTATGCTGTACTTACTGTTCAGAAGACGGAAGTCTATGAATGGATAGGAACCACGTCGCTCAGAAAGAACCCCTGTCTGACCTCTCAGGTGTGCATCTCCTGCAAAATACAGTTGGGCAAATGTTAGAGATACTGGATTTCCACCCCCAGTAATTATTTAATTCCTCAACTATTATTTATGAGTGAGATCAGTTCAGAATGTTCTACATAGAAAATAAAATTTCTAAAAGAAAAAAAAACCATGTATGTATGTATGTATGTATGTATGTATGTATGTATGTATTTAACATAGTCTTATAATGCTAAGGAAAACCTCCAATGCCTTCAGTAGCTCTACATACATTACAATCAAACACAGAAAATAACATAAATTGGTTAAAAAATGATAAGCTACTGGCCATGAATAATGGAAGAGTACAATACTGAATAGAATAGAATAGAATAGAATAGAATAGAATAGAATAGAATAGAATAGAATAGAATAGAATAGAATAGAATAGAATAGAATAGACTCTCTGTGGCTTCAGGGCAGGAAAGGAAGAAGAAGTCAAACCATCCCTAAAGTGTCTTGGTGATTTAAATATGGATGATCCTTCTTATCTGGTAGAAAATACCATACACTGCACTATATGCTAGGGATTATGGGAATTGTAACAAGACAGTTGTTATGAGCTAGGCAGCACTTTCTCACTTTCTTTGTTTGTCTTTAGTCTACTTTATTAGGTAGCTGTCACAGAGGGTGAAATGCATGGTTGACAGCTTCCCATGTCTGGAACATCAGCCTCAGACAAACTTAATATAAAGTACAACATTAAAATTTCTGTGCTGCTTGGCTACCACTCAGTTGTCACAGATGAAATGCTATTAGGTCCAGAGCAGGAAAATGGGCTGGGGAAGGGTTAAAACTTGTAATATTATTTCTTTCCTTTCCCCATCTCTTCTTTCTTTCAACACTTTCTAATTGCGAGACCTCTGTTTCTACCACCACACCATCACCTCCTCTCCTGTTGGCTCCAGAAAAGGCTGCTTCTAGAAAACTGAGGCTTACTGAGCTGGAGCTATATGCCATCTATGGGGCAGACTTGTTTTTGAGGAATCCTAAGGGGTCACCTCTCTAACCTTGTGGTGATGGTGATGATGTAATAATAATAATAATAATAATAATAATAATAATAATAATAGTAATAGTAATAGTAATAGAAGGGGCGTTGACTTACCTGAACGCCTTTTCTCAGCACGGAGATGGATAATCCACGCAGTGGGTTGAGACTGTATTCCTGGCCAATCAGATCAGTCAGCCAAAGTTGCCACGCCTGTCCTGGACCACGATTTCCCAGTCTTGACACGAGCGCAGCCATTGACTGACAGTAAGACGTTTTGGCTCAACTAAATATACCCTATTATCCTAGTCTATAAGGGTGGGTGTGGATTATCCATCTCCGTGCTGAGAAAAGGCGTTCAGGTAAGTCAACGCCCCTTCTCCAGCACTGGAGATGGATAATCCACGCAATGGGACATACCAAAGCCTATTGTCCCTTGGGTTGGGGAATAGACTGGTCCCGTGTGTAACTTTGGTCTAGAACCTGCTGGAGAACCCTCCTACCGAAGGAGGCCTCTGCAGAGGAGTACTTGTCGATTTTGTAATGGCGAATGAATGGAGAGGGCGAGGCCCAAGTGGCTGCCCTGCATACTTCTTCAATAGAAGCCTGCATGGCCCATGCTGCTGAGGTGGCAGCGCTCCTTGTGGAGTGGGCCGTGATATGCTTGGGGACTTGCAAGGACTCCGCCTGGTATGCCCCAGTGATGCATGCCCTAATCCACCTACCGATGGTAGAGGACGAGACCTTCCGGCCCCTAGTAGCGGGGTGGAAGGATATGAAAAGCGCTTCCGAGCGTCGGAATTCCGCTGTGCGTGAAATGTAATGTCTTAGTGCCCTTCGTACGTCCAAGGTATGCCATTGTTGCTATAGGGGATGAGCTGGATTTGGACAGAAGTCTGGTAGGATTATTTCCTGTGATCTGTGAAAAAAGGAGTTGATCTTTGGAATGAAGGAAGGGTCTATTCTTAGGACTACCTTGTCCCTGTGAAAGTGACACAGGTCCTTCCTCGTTGAGAGAGAAGCTAACTCGGATATCCGTCGAGCTGACATGATAGCTACTAAGAATGCTACCTTATGGGTCAGGTAGCGAATGTCACATGTTTTGAGTGGTTCGAAGGGCGCTCTGGTAAGAGCTTGTAGTACTCGTGGTAGATGGATACCTGTGCACGGTTGGCGGGCTCCAGCTGTGGGAAGGTGGTTGGGGTTTGGGTGAGGGAGAGGGAGAGGAGTTAGGGAATTCCCCCTTTTAAGTGAGGGTGGTTTCCCCTGTAGGGAATCTGACTTCCTGAGTCTTACAATTTAGCAAGGGAATTTTAGAGTAATCCATTAAATTGAATTAAATTATCTCTAATTAACTTTTAAACTAAGCAATTTCAGCTACTAGAAAAAAATCCCCCCAATGGAAAGGAACTATACCTGCCCAGGAGCCAAAGTTGTACGTCTGTCTGTGTGGCCAGATCAGTCAAGACTGGGAAATCGTGGTCCCGGACAGGCGGGGCAACTTTGGCTGACTGATCTGATTGGCCAGGAATACAGTCTCAACTCACTGCGTGGATTATCCATCTCCAGTGCTGGAGAAAATGATAAAATTAAACTGCTCTGGGACTTCAGATTTCAAACAGACAAGCACCTGCAACATAACACCCAGACTTAACAATTGTCGATAAGAAAGACAAAAAAGTCTGGATAGTGGACGTGGCAGTGCCTGGAGACAGCAGAATAGACGAGAAAGAACTGGAGAAGATAACAAAATACAAAGACCTACAAATAGAAATAGAAAGACTGTGGCAAAAGCAAGCAAGGGTAGTACCAATAGTAATAGGCTCCTTGGGTGCAATCCCAAAACAACTGGAGCACCACTTGAACAGAATTGGCATTGACAAATTCGCTATTAGTCAATTGCAAAAGGCGGCCTTACTAGGAACTGCTTCCATCCTGCGACGATATCTGTAATACCATCAAACATCCACATCTGCCTATCCCAGGTCCTGGGTAAGGACTCGATAGGTAGAAAAATGCTAAATCCAGTCTGAACATCTGGCTGACTGTGCGATGATCCATAATAATAATGATGATGATGATGATGTTGGAAGGGATCTTGGAGGTCATCTAGTCCAGTCCAACCCCCTGTTCAGGCAGGAAAGCCTATACCATTTCAGACAAATGGCTGTCCAGTCTACCTAGTTTGGGAATGAATTGTTTGCAAGAAAACAACCAAACTAAGAGAGCACCAAGGACCCCTCATTTCAACCCTGAACTACAGATTTTCTCCATTATTGAGACTTGCTTTTGTTGAAAGAGGGTTGAGCTAGCTTATTCTGTTGGTGCCTTTATGGCACAAGGGAGCAAAAGATGTACCTGCTAGGAATTTGAACTCCCTGATATAGTTCAACCTTAGGAAACATTTTTAAGATTCCTTTTGAGGGAACCAGCTCAAATACATTTACAGTGGAAATTAAATAGGCTCTAATGGGCAGGATTGGAACCAAATTTTCTAGCCTTTATAGCTGTTGAAAATGTGCTTAAGTATAGCAATTCTTTCTAAAACACTGAAAATGGGTGAATTTGAAGAAGCTTGGTAAAAAATCCTGACAGTTGGATATTAGTACTCACGTATATTATGTAACTTTTTGTCCCAAGGGATGATTACCAGAAGAAAAATAAAGGATGCGTATTAATGTATGGAATTTAAGCTTTTGTGGATTAGATACTTCGCCCAGAGTAGGGTGGTTGTTTTGATTTAGTGCAGAGAACATGCAGATATAACTAAATTGCTCACTTAGCAGCAGATAATGCATGGGGTTTCTATGGCAACTTTGCAGCCGAGGGCTTGGTTAAATGTTTCTAAAATGTTATATTATTGTAATGCATTTATTAATTATGTAATTAATACATAGCTGCCAACTCTCCCTCCATCTTATAAAATGTTCATGTATCAATATGGAGACTGAAAGAAAAAAAAAAGTGATTTATCACTGACATTTTGAGAAAAAGCTCCAAACCCAGTAGCAGTTACCTGCCAAAAAATCTTCTCTCAGCTGCCCCCTTTCATTTTTGCAACTCTCTGGTGCCAGACTTCGATCTTCTCAGTTGCATCAAGGAACTTGTTCTTTTCCCCTTCTCAAGGCACTCCCCATACATTTTAGCAGTTGAAATTTCACAGATAGTAATGAAAACAACTTATCAGCAGCATGCCATTTTGCCTGCTCAAGCAGATTTAACCATTGGCCTCATAGCCATCTTTTTATTTTTTGCTGTCAGCACAACTAACTCAGATGTCTGCTTTTATTTCTCAACAAGACATAAAAAGCTGGAGCTGATAAAGATTGGGTTCAGTAAGGACTGTTATGCTATGAAAGCAGAAGGGAAAACATAACCTTGAAAGAAGTAGAGATAAAAGAGGTTCATTACAAATCTGAATTAAGAAAGTTAAAAAAAGAAAAAGAAAAAAGAAAACATTACTTTAGGCTGTGATCTGTCAGAAAATAATTCAGGAAAAGAAAATCTCTATCAGAAAGGGAACAGAACTTTGGCCCTGGAAGAGATTAAGCAAATGTTGAGTTCTAAGCTAATGGCTTTTCTTCCCAACCATATCTGTATGAAAGGATTTAAATTCAACGCCCCTCTGACTAAACTGCTCTATGCAGGGCTTTTTTTTCTCTCATAGAACGCCCAGAACGGAGTTCCAGCATCTTTTTTGGATGGAACCTTGTAGGGTAAGCAAGGCGGGTTGTATGATGTGTGGGGTTTTTTTTTTAACAAAAAAAAGCTCTGGCTCTATATACATAACACATACAACCCTATTGGGCTGAAGTGGACTGCATCACTGTAGGATGTAAATTGAAGAATTTCCCTGTTCAGACAGTAAAGTCTTAACCATCAAAAATATGGAGGGGCAACAGCTGATATGTGAAGATATTTTTCTTCCCACATAACGATCTTTATCTGTACCACAATACAAAGATGTGATTATATTATCTGAAGCATAAATTTACCTAT